TGTCTACGCCGTTAAATGTCCGTCTGATTCCGCGTGTATGTACACGCCGTTAAATGTCCGAGCGAAACGAAGCAAAATGTAGATCTACATCTGGGGAGCGATATTTTTTTCCCTAGGATGGTAGGGGAAGACTCATAAATGGTATTAACCCCAGTGACGGGTAGGTTTAGCGACGGGGTTGGGGTAGGTCATATACTGTATTTATATATACAGTAATGTAACGTTAAGTCAACGGCGTTGATAAACACGCTGAAAAGCCATTATGCGTGTTGATAGCACGCCAAAAATGGAAATACGAATTGGCGTGTCATACATACGCCATTTCATGAGATCAGTCTGATGATGTGGAAATAGCGTAATGACGTAGAAATAGCGTAATGACGTGGACGTAGAAATAGCGTAATGACGTAGAAATAGCGTAATGATGTGGACGTAGAAATAGCGTAATGATGTGGAAATAGCGTAATGATGTGGAAATAGTGTAATGACGTAGAAATAGCGTAATGACGTAGAAATAGCGTAATGATGTGGAAATGGCGTAATGATGTAAACGTAGAAATAGCGTAATGATGTGGAAATAGCGTAATGATGTGGAAATAGCGTAATGATGTGGAAATGGCGTAATGATGTAAACGTAGAAATAGCGTAATGACGTAGAAATAGCGTAATGATGTGGACGTAGAAATACCGTAATGATGTCAACATGACATCATGACTTTGCGTAAACATACACGCCACTTTCAAGTCAAGTGGCGTGTTATCTATACGCATTTTGAGCTATCCCCGTATGTGCACGCCGAAACGAACCGTCATCTTTTGCGTGTATGTCTACGCCGTTAAATGTCCGTCTGATTCCGCGTGTATGTACACGCCGTTAAATGTCCGAGCGAAACGAAGCAAAATGTAGATCTACATCTGGGGAGCGATATTTTTTTCCCTAGGATGGTAGGGGAAGACTCATAAATGGTATTAACCCCAGTGACGGGTAGGTTTAGCGACGGGGTTGGGGTAGGTCATATACTGTATTTATATATACAGTAATGTAACGTTAAGTCAACGGCGTTGATAAACACGCTGAAAAGCCATTATGCGTGTTGATAGCACGCCAAAAATGGAAATACGAATTGGCGTGTCATACATACGCCATTTCATGAGATCAGTCTGATGATGTGGAAATAGTGTAATGACGTAGCAATAGCGTAATGATGTGGAAATAACGTAATGACGTAGCAATAGCGGAATGACAGAAGCTCTCCAGATCCGGCAGATTCCCGGATTCCCAGTCCAGCCGCTCGTCTCCCACAGGGATCGGGTCAGGGATCGGGTCAGGGATCGGCTCAGGGATCGGCTCAGGGATCGGGTCAGGGATCGGGTCAGGGATCGGGTCAGGGATCGGGTCAGGGATCGGGTCAGGGATCGGCTCAGGGATCGGCTCAGGGATCGGCTCAGGGATCGGGTCAGGGATTGGGTCAGGGATCGGCTCAGGGATCGGCTCAGGGATCGGGTTAGGGATCGGCTCAGGGATCGGCTCAGGGATCGGGTCAGGGATCGGCTCAGGGATCGGGTCAGGGATCGGGTCAGGGATCGGGTCAGGGATTGGGTCAGGGATCGGCTCAGGGGCGGCAGATGCTGGGTTTGTGCTCAGTGACACATTTATGTGTTGATTTTGATGTTTGTTTTTGGATCACTGTCCTGTTGGAAGATCCAGCCACGGCCCATTATAAGATTTCTAGCACAGGCCGTCGGGTTTTGATGTTTCATCTGTTGGTATGTGATCGAATCCATGATGCCGTGTGTCTGAACAAGAAGTCCAGGACCTCCAGCAGAACATTAGGCCCACAGCATTAAAGATCCAGCAGAGTACTTCATTTACACGTGGGTATTTCACCCATATTGAGTGTTTGCTGCCAAAAAAGCTATTTTTTTGTTTCATCCGTCCACATAACGTTTGAGAAGTAAAGACACGACTGGATCTTCCAACGGGGCGGGTTGATGAAACAGATGAAACAAAAAAAATAGCTTTTTTGTCAGCAAACACGTAATATGGGTCTGGATCACAGGGATAAAGTAGCCCATGTGTAAATGAAATACTCTGCTGGATCTTTAATGCCTAATTTCTGCCAGAATTTATTTCAGGGCTTTTATCTTGATGTATCACCCTGACATATACTACTGAACTAAAACATGCTCGTCACAGAAGAGCATTCATTTTATGGGAGAATAGCATTTGAATGCATTTCGAATAAATGAACAGATTTATTAAAGACGGACCCAGACGTCACAGCTCTTGATATCCACTTCTCTAGAGCCAGTGTGATGGGTGATTATCATATTCACAGAGCTGTTCTGCAGAAGTGTGGGTTGATCCGGCCGGTGTCGTCGGCTCCCTCCACTGGTCAGGAGGACACACTGAAGCAGTTCTGTAACGCTGTCCAACACATCTTACTTCACGTTTCTAAACACCCTGTTCCATTTCCAGCATCTTATCAAGCTGACGAATGAACCTTCATATCCTCATAACCAGCGATACTGCGGTACTCAAACACACACACAGCAATTAGACATCCTGAAGAAATGCAGTTTGAATTACAGTTAACAGATATGAATGTAAGGGAAATATAATATATACTGGAAACCGTTCAACCGAGGAGCAGAAATAAACGCTGATAATATGAGCGTATTTATTTTAGGTTATTGCCTTGCTTGAGAAAGCAGAGAGAGAGTTCATATGTGTCTGAACATCACTATACGTATCCCAGGATTCCACAGTGTTACACAGACACTTAAGGGGGATCTTATTAATGCATACGAACAGACGGGTATTGATGTCAATAAAGAGGTCTATGTAATACCTGAAGAATAAACCAATCACGTGAGCCGTAAATGTCATGTGACCAATCACTTGTATGAACTTACGTAAAACTAATAGTTCAGATTCTAGTTCTGCTACTAATTAAATAAGTATTTGTGATCATGTGACTATTTGCAGTGTTTTTTGGATCATTTGCAAAAGTTTTAGATCTGTAAGAGTTTCTAGAATATCTCACGTTAGACCAGTATCTGTACATACACAGACTTTACACAGACAGGATTCGCACTGTATGATAAAAGTTTCAGGGAAGTCACTGTCAAGCAGAAGAGAATCAATGATCAAATGTTGTTTCTTAATATCTTCTCTTTTAGCGCCACCCAGTGGCCTCTGAAGGTTCCTGCGTTCAGAGCAGTTCTCCATCAACCAAACACACATGAAACATATCAAACATGACTAAAACTGCTTTTACAATCCACTACTACTCAAAACTCACTCATGTTCACTAGTGTTCATGGATTACAGAAACAGGCCTAAGCTCAAACTCAAGGAGAAGAATTTGAATAATTGTTACTTACAGTACAATATCCAATACTGTTGTGTGTTTCTGTCGTTCTCTCTGTATGTGTGTTTGTCCTTCCTCTGTTCCCGTCCATCCTCAGAGCTCCGCCCCCTGATATCAGCCGTCACCTGTGATTGGCTGAGAGAGTGCATGCTCATTAAAGATAAAAGCAATTCTACAGACATGTTTGGTTTCTTTGCACACATTCAGACATTTGGGGAATTTGGTTAGTCATGTTGTTTATTATTTTGGCACCAGGTAAAAGTTAAAAGCTTTAAATCATAAAAGCTTTAAATCATCTTTTAAATAATCTTAGTTAAAAGCTTCAGTTTCCATGCTTTCCTGTTTTTAAAAGTGTTCATTATTTAGAGCTCTTTTGAATCTGGTTAATTAGTTGGCACCGCTTTTATCATTTTTATGTTGCATCCAAACACGAGAACTGTATGAACCAGACCTCGGATCACATGAGCTCCAGTGGCTCATTTGCATGAATTACAGTAGGCCACGCCCACTCTCACTGTCAATCAAACAGTCCTCTACCGCTGAAGTAAAGCACAGCATAATTCTGTATTTGTTCACTATCATTTTTTAACTAATTTCAATTTTACAGGTTTGTAAGCTCTAGCCCGGTTTCACTGACAGGATTAGACCTTTGTTTAATTAGAACATTAAATTAGAATTAGAATTGTGCCTTAGAAAACAAACATTACTGATGATGTGCATCTTGAGACAAAATAATGGCACTGACATATTTTAAGAAATGCTTTTAGTTAAACCAGCTCAAACATGCACTTTAGTGTGGGACTAGATTAAGCCTCGTCTATAAAACCAGGCCATATACAGTATAAGTGGTGCATATTAAAACAAGCTGCAGATGCGCAGTTTTGATCATATTTGAGTGAGAAAATAACTTTATCGAATGTAAATCATTGAATGCATTTATATCAACGCAGTTTCATCCACAGATTCTGCTTTTGTGTTGGTAATATTAGCACATTTTCACTACTTTTCATGCATGCGGACTCAAATTTAAGATTAAAATGTCATCAAACATTTTTTTCTTCCTAGCCATAACTGTGTTTCAAAGAGGCTTGTTTGTAATTTGTAAATACTTTTTAGAATGATTAATACATTTTTTACTAAAAAAGGTCACATTTGATTGACCCTCTTCACTTTTGAGACGCTCAGATGAGGAAGACGGACTCGTCATAACGAGAGACTACATTAAATATATTTTTCGTGTTCCCATTTGCTCAAATAACAAAAGAAAATCTCCACAAAAGTGTTTCACAACTTCCAAAAGAGAAATAAATAGAGAGAGATTAAAGGCAGTCAGAGAGAAATATGTCAAAGTGATCGCTGCTGTATTTATTTATTTATTTTTGCAATTTGATGCAAAAGTAATATCATACAAAGTATAGTGTTATAAATGTAAATCTTTTTTTTTTAATGAAAATATATTTAAAAAATGCGATGCTTATGATCGTTAAAAACGCGTCATCAGTCCGAGATGAAGGTCCGTTTGTTTACTGTTTACAGTCATAGATTTAAATGAATAAACTGACGGTTTGTCTTTGGCATAGCAACAGCAGGCTGACCCATCGTGTAAACACTGGGTTGCTATGGAGACAGCGGTTTAAAGCAGATCCAGTCAGTTCAGTCAGTCAGACTCATCGGCAAAATGGAAAACAACGAGCAGTCAAAAGTGGACGAAAGATATGGATATTTAGAAAACTGTGTGTTAAAAGCGTTTAATCTAAAGTCTGACCGCTGGCAAAAATGTCTTGCCGTAGAAGAACAGCGAGAGGTCATTCAGGACTTTTTAGATAAAGCTGACCAGACGACTCTCGTCGTGACACTCAACAGCTCCTCAGGACAGCTGATCCCAAATCTCGGTTTCTCGGGACGCGGGAAAAACAAATCTCTTTATTTTCTGAAAGAGAGCAAAACAGTGCTGTCCGTCAATACCATGAAAACACACTTAACTTGGGGTAGTATGTCTCATTCTCCTTTGGAGGAGCTCTCGGTGCTTTTGGATAAGGTGAGTCGAGTTCGCGATGCCCGGTTGGCTAACGAATCATTCTTTTGAATCGGTTCTTTGTAAATGAATCACTTAATCAGATTTTTCAAGATGATTAAAACTGTTTGTGCGTTACATAAATTATTTTATAAATACAACCAAAGCAACTAATGAGAGCATTTTTAGCTATCAAATACAGTGTTTGGTACCAACTGCAAAGCTATTAAGTTAACTAACTTAACTTATATGTATCGAGTTGGAATCGTTTTAAATGTCAGTTGCAACCGACTTTGCTTCAGTGTTCATGTGACGCATTTCCAAGTGAAACTTTACATTGAAGAGATGAAAAGTCACCCTAAAATGAAAATGAATCTCTTACTCACCCTGGTGTTGTTGTTCCAATGCCTTATGTCCTTCTTTCTTTTCGGACCACAAAAGGAGATATTTTGAAAAATGCCCTGCTCGCGCTCCTCCATTTGAATGGCGACCAGACTCAAACCTTACAAAATAAAAGTATCACGTAATGGTACAATGAGACGCACGCCATATATATAAAGTGTTTAGGAGGCATACTATAATGTTTAGCGAGAAAGAAAGCGCATTATTCAGACACAATACTGAACTAACGAAGCTTTGAATCAATTACTTCGCAAAAAAATGATTCACTGTTTCGAGACGTTTCGAAACAGTTATGACGTAACGAAGCCTCGTTTACTAAAATCACGTGACTTTTGCAGTATGATACCATGTATGATACGCACAGTCTATTATCAGTTTATGGTCAGCAATATTGTTATGTTTAAGGACATTATGAAAAACTAAGATAATGTCGGCACTATGTTATGATTATGATACTGTACAATTACGATAAAACACTCGTTGTCGAGTCAGCAGTCTCTGAACATTTTACCTCAGGGCGTACATAACGTTACATTAACTGAATTAATTGAGAATAGAATCTCACCTGAAAATCTGAAATCATCAGCAATCTTCATCCACGCAGTTTATTTCTGTATTTTGTCTTGACAGATTATGTGGTTTGTCACAGATAATCCGGGGTATTTCCCAACTCCGGGAGGGGGCAGCACACCATACTGACTGTAATCACGACAGGCAAACGTCGTGCTGGCACAGCAGGGCAAAATTATTTTGATTAATGATTACTAGGAGAATCAGTTCACATATTACTAGTTTGCACCGTTTTTAGTTCATTTAACCAGTAGAATAAGTTATATGATAATTCAGAACAAAGAACTTATATATTCAACTACAATTGATTGAAACCAAATAAGCAATTACATTTAAATTACTTTTAACTTAAAATTTTAATATCACATAACATTAACAAATTATGAACAAATGCCGATTTCTCTTTACCCGTACTGTATAATGAATGTTGCTCCGTGGTTTTACTGTCTAGTGGAAGAAAGTGTACTTGATGGTATAATCACATTCAATGTGTTTAAATTGTAACCTAACAGATTCCAGATGCACTTCTCTTCCACAGTTCAGCTGAAGTCCTGAAATCATTGCCATGCTGTGGCTGTGTTACTATATGTGTATTTTGCACATTAGGTTGTGTTTATTACTTTTGGGGAGGAATTTAGTGCTAACTTTATTAATGAGAAGTAGCCAATGTGCAAAAGCACAGGTTAGCCCAGCTAACAAATGTGTTATAAAAATGTTTTGCTAACATTCCCATTAAGTTATGACAATGTTATTTCTGAATGTTTTCAATTTTTAAAAACGTTTTAAGTAGTTTTCTGTTGGTTAAACAAACATGTCATTATCATTTTGCAAACGTAATGAGAATGTTGCTTGTGAATGTTATCCGAACGTTCTGAAACATTAAAAAAAATTCTAAATGTTCCAAAAAAAATGTTCCATGAAGGATGTATAAATAATGTTTTGTACTAATGCTTTGAAAACATTATTATATAACTTTGAACGAATGTTCTATTAATTTTACTGGAATAACGTTTGTTCATAACTTTGAGAGAACCTTGACAGAACGTTAGCTTTAGTTCTGAGAACGTTCCCTGATTGAATGTGCTATTATAGAGTGATTGTTCTTCCTGCATGACTTCAGTTTCGAATGAACCATTGTTCATGGCTTACATATATAGTGTAGGTCAACAAACAGCAGAGCGGTCCCCCAGCAATGAGCCGTGAGAGTCTCAGCTCGTCACTACAGGAGCAGCTTCATTAATGTAAACACTGGCTCTCTGTGGAGGAGACGAGAGGTTCATTACTGATAATCTCATCAGTTCCTAACAGTGGCCTTTAGTCACAGCATGACTAGCCCTCTTCTACCTCATTGTGTAATTATATACTTTGCACCACAAACTCTTTTATTAATGGGTTATATTAAAGGCTGCTGGTTTAAATTAGTTCACTTCAGAATTAACATTTCCTGATAGTTTACTCTCCCTCACATCATCCAAGATGTTCACGTCTGTCTTTCTTCAGTGGAAAGAAATGAAGGTTTTTGAGGAACACACTCCAGGGTTTCTCCATATAGTGACTTCAATGGGGTCCAACGGGTCGAAGGTCCAGATGTGAGTTTCAGTGCAGCTTCAAAGTCTCGACACGATCCAGCCGAGGAATAAGAGTCTGATCTAGACAAACCAGTGGACATTTATAACACAATACACATTTATATACTTTAAACCACAAATGCTGGTCTTGCTCGAGCTGTGATGCGACACACATTACGTCATCAGGGTGAAAGGTCAAGCGTTTTTTCCATTTCAGGAATGTAGGATAGAGCTAAAAACTCCTTATCATTTTCTCCAACTTCAAAATTGTCCGACATCGTTGTTTTACCTTTTATTTTATTTTCGTAAATGGCGTTTGACTCAGTCTTTGCACGTAAACACTGGGTCTGTTCTTACGCCTACGTCACGCTTGACCTTTCACCCTGATCACGTAATGTGTGTCGCATCACAGCTCGAGCAAGACCAGCATTAGTGGTTAAAAAGTAAGTATGTTTTTTTTGTTTTTTTTTAAATGGCCGATGTTTGTCTAGATATGACTCTTATTCGACTGAAGAAAGAAAGACGTGAACGTCTTGGATGACGTGAGGGACAGTAAACTATCAGGAGATTGTAATTCTGAAGTGGACTACTCCTTTAAGATCTCGGAGTATCACTAGATGTAGTTCCTGCGTCTCTGACTGAAAGACGTTTGGTTAAAAGTCTCCACAAACATTGTCACAGCATAAAATTCCATTGTCTTATTTTTAATTTTCTTCATTTTAGCTTGTGGAACCACAACTGTCCAATATGCAGAACAACCGGGACGTTCCTCAGGTTGTTTCTCAGGACCTCGTGCGACATGTCCACGATCTTAAGAACAAAGTGTTTGTCATGATTGGAAAAGTCAAAGGCAAAACGTACCTTCCTTTGCCTTCAGGATTGGAGAAGCTCGGGCAAGTTCCTCATGAAGGAGATAAGAGGTGGCTTCCTAAAAAATTGGGATTTTAATAAACATACTTTTTTTTGTCTGAAATATTTCATTTGCATTTTCGTTTGGTAATATTTCTGCAGTTTGCAACACGTGGATAGAAGCCTGATTTATTCCATGGAGACGGTTGTGGTTGACTGGACTAATCAGGTGTATAAGGTCCTGAAGAAGGACTCCTCAGAGCCGTTGCTTGAGGGCACAAACCCGACTCCTCACGCAGAGCTGAGCTTCTGGAAGAACAGGTGAGAGACACACGGCACTGGGAGTCCAGTCTCTGATGTGGCCTGGAAAAGCCCTTACACGTGTTTGTCCACTTGGTGTTGTGTTGCAGGCTTGATGATCTTCAGGGCATTCACAGTCAGCTCCAGGCACCTACAGTGGCCACACTGGCTGAGGTCCTGCATGCCATCGACAGCTGTTATTATCCTGCTTTTGCAAAAATGCTCCGGGATGTTGAGGAAGGTATGGTGTTGTGCACAAACATTAGTTTTTGTCTTTAAACGTGATGCATTAAAGATGCTTTTCCCCATGTTCATCTGTCTCTCTTCCCAGTCTGTCAGTAACGCTCTGTTTACTTCCTGTCTCTATGAAGCCCCTCACTCTGAAAAGCACACTGTGCTCTGATTGGTCGTGTGCAGTGTTTAGTGTGTAATGTTGCTGTCTCATCATGAAGAAGCTCCAGTTCTTCTCTATATCAGAGTCAGTGTTTCTGAACTCCTGAAACGCCTCCATTGTAGTCTTGAGTTTCTCCCGGGAACGAACATGTCTCAATATTCCTCATTATAATAATTAATACGCAGAATAAAGGGGCGGGGCCTGGCTGAGTTAGTTAGTAGTGTGTTAAACTGGCGGTTATGGAAAGGGGCGGGGCATTTCCCAAACACACTCAAAGCACTCGACCAATCGCAACACACTGCTCCAGCCGACCAATCAGAGCACAGTGTGCTTTTCAGGAGGAGGGGCTTCATAGAGACAGGAAGTAAACAGAGCGTTACTGACAGACTGGGAAGAGAGGAGCCGCAACAATGGAGAATATGAGGAAAATAATCAACATTCAAGCAGGAAAACCTGTTCTAGTAGAGTAGAAAAGGGCATAATAGGTCCTCTTTAATTGTCTGAAAGCTATGAATCTTCATTGGATTTTGTATTGTGTGTATAAAGCTCTAAATGAGGCGAAGAACATCAATGCCTTCCTCAAGTCGATGGAGAAGCGTTTGGAAGATGTGGAGGGTGCAGAGTTCAGTGAGGTGAAGGGGAAGATTGCTGGTCTCATGCACACAGTGTGTCTGATCTGGGCGAACTCCAAATACTACAACAAACCGGCCCGAGTCATCGTGCTTTTACAGGAGATCTGCAACCTCCTCATCCAGCAGGTATTCTAACAAACAAACGCTTTATTTAAAGGTACAAAAGTGTCACTGGGGCAGTGCCCTTGAAATTATGTCTGTATTTACTCAATATGCACTATCTCAGATTTTTTTGCTGATAGTTCTTAAAGATGTGGAATATAGCACACAAGTAATATTGACCACTTACATCAAATTGTTATGGTGCTTTTTTGTCATTTCTGAAACTTAATAGCATAAAAAAATAGTGACACATACTTTCTTCTACTTCTACTTTTGGAAAAGACATGCCAATGGAATATTTTTGGGGGTGAATTATTCCTTTGCATTTTTCTTTTGCATTCCTCAAGATCCTGTTTAGGGTAGTTCGGTTCAGCTGTTCAGCAATGAGATAAAGCTTTAACACTTTACAGTAAGGTTCGTTTGTTAACATTAATTAACTAGATTAGTTAACGAGAACAAACTATGAAAAATATTTCTCAAGCATGAATCTTATAGTAGTTCACTTCAATCAATTTCAACATTTACTAATACTATTAAAACCACGAATATGTTAATATTATTTAATAGAGCAGCAGCCAGTTGCATAAAACACTTTGACTAAGTTAGTCATTTATCTTTTTCTTTAAGTATGGTCATAACTTTTATAAGTCAGTTACTTAAAACTGTCGATTTAAACTGAACAATAAGTCTGATTACTCATTTGCAAACTGCTAGTTAGTCAAACTAGTTCTTAACACATAGTGACTAAGATAAAGCAACTGGCCACTGAGCTAAAATGAACTAACAACGAACAGTTGTGTTTTTATAACCGATGTTAACAAAGATGTACTATGTAGAATGCAATGTATTGCTCATTGTTAGTTAATTTTAGTTAGTGCATGAACTAATGGGACGTTATTGTAAAGTGCCAGCGCTTCACTTACTCCGAGTGTTGTTTGTCAGGCCCGGAGTTTCCTGAACCCAGAAGACGTCCTGAAAGGAGACGTGCAGGAGAGCCTCCAGCGAGTGCAGACGGCTGTAGATGTGCTGACATACTTCAGGAACACATACGAGGACCGAAGGGCCAACCTGAGTCAGTACCAGAGGCCCGAGAACACGGTTCTGCCGTGGGATTTCTCCCCACTCATGGTGTTTGTTGGGCTGGAGCACTTCATGAAGAGACTGAGAGCAATCGAAGTAAGCAGAGACACTGGTTCATGTACTCGCATGTTCACACACAGTCCAACCAAACATTAACCAGACATCAGTTTTTATGTTTCTTTACTAGTGTGTGCAGGACACTATAGTTCATTTATGTAAGTGAGGAGAGCAAAATAAGGGTAAACTGTGACATATTATACCCAAACACTCTTCATACAGTGACTACCAGTAACATTTATACAAATTGGGACCAAAAATGATTCCTCCACTTTGAGCTGATCATGTTCTGCTGAAGTGTGTTTTCTGTAATTGCTAATGCTCTTTTTACACACAGACTGAACAACATGAAGCATTGCTTGGTCACTGGTTGAGCTAAACTGGTATTATCTAATTGTGTAGTTAAATTTAACAGCTGACAGATATTCAACATAATTCATGTGTGGGAGTCTAACAGAAGGACGGACAAAACCAGTCAAATATCCACTGATCTGAGAACTCTGAGTTCTGCTCATATTTATCACCATTTTCTAAACTATAGCGAATAAACTGTGATAATGTGAGAAATGTTGAAGGAGTCTGAATACATTTTGTTCCGACTGTATGTGCAATTGTGTATAGAGTATGCTTGGGCCCTAAACCTGAAATTATACAGGCGTTCTGGGTAACTAAGGTATATGGAATTATGTGAGGAAAAAAGTGATATTATATGAAGACAATGTTGTCTGTTTTTTTTCTTCCATTTTCACTGTCTAGACTCTCCTGCTGACTGTAGTTGACATGATGAAGCTGGAGAAGGTCGAGTTTGGAGGGATTCAAGGAAAGTCTCTCTGCCATAAAGTCCAGCTCTTACATAAATCCTTCTTGGAGAAATACAAGACTTTCTCAGAGAAGCCGTACGACTGCCTTGATGTTTGTAATTTGGTAAGTGGGCAACAACACGCAACAAAAGCACAGTTGACAGGTTGACGTTCCTTGATTAAAGGGTGCTTGTCTGTAGGAGTTTGAAGCAGATTTAATGAAGCTCCAGCTCACGGTGGACGGTTCTGACCAGCAATTGGGTGCAATCTTTGGTCTTGCTTTTGATGATGCTTCTGGACTGGAGGAGGCTTTCAAGGTGGGCAACACTTTCTGTCAGTGTAAAAATACAACAATGTTGCGAAAGCGTTTTTTGGTGTGGAGCTGCACTCATGCTCCTTGGGACATTATACATAGACAGTTTCTGAGCTTTGTTCTGTCTTTAATGAGTTATAGATACCTGCATATTATCAAGTCCCAATCAGGAACTTGTTTTAAGACTGGAATGCACACACATCTCCACGGACTCGAGATCTTTAACAGAGCTCAGTCTGAACCCTGCAGGAGAAGAAAACACACTTTAGGGTCTTTTTTATTTTTGAGTTGTACTTGCAACAAGCAGAATATTCCACCCGGCTGGAACATGTTTTCATTACTAGCATATTTGATTTGCGCAGTTGATAGTGCAGTGAACCATGTCTTTGGTGGAAAGCATTTGTGTTTATTGTTTTTTCAAGACAAAACTTTTTTTCAATACAAAAATGACAACACAGTTTCATAGAGTCTCTGCTTGGCAGGTTTTGTTCATGTTTGGCAGACTGTTGGAACGACCCCTGATAGCAGCCGATGCTCACACTAGATATCCCAGGCTGATCAAAATGTTTGACGAGGAACTGGAATGTTGCAAGATGATCTTCAAAAATCAGATGCAGAAAGAGGAAACCCAGGGTTCGGTCTTCATCTTCATTATCGACAAGTAACATCACTGTGGTGTTTGTTATTCTCTTATCTTGTGTTTTTAACTGTTTATTGGTCTTCCAGGTTACTCTCCTGTCTTCAAGAACATGCCTGTGGTTTCTGGAGGATTAAGATTTGTCCAACAATTGCAGGAACGCATACAAAGCCCTTACAATAACTTCAGATTCATCAACTACCCGTAAATATCTTATGCTTTGTGTTTTTTTGAGAAGGCTTGATTGGGAATCGCCCAACAGTTTGTTTTCTTCATTAAACATCTTCTTTGTTTGTGTTATGATAGGTGTCTGGAGTCTGTGGATGGAAAGGAGGTGATCGAGAAATACGATGAGCTGATGCAGCAATTCAAACGGTCAGCTTATATTATATACACAAGGGAAAGCCAAGGGCTATATATACACACAGGGGGCTAATAGGCTAACAAGACACACACAGAGCATATGACTATAATTATGGGGTGGGTGAGATATGACCAAACTCTTATATCGGTCACAATCACCAGTGAGAGTGACCGTCATTACCACCAGAGGGCACTCCACCCCAGACTATTGTCATTCCCTCATGAAACTACATTTCCCATAATCCTTTGCCCAGACCATCCTCCATTGTCACATTCACCTGTGTGTCAATATCTTGTTGTAAACGGATGAGTTGAACTGCTGGATCATCGGTGGGTCTGGGTCTTGCTCGGCTGCTGGATCTGTGCATGGCTGTTACGAACTGCTCCGAGACACGAAGGTTGAGGATCCAAATGCAGTGTTTTAATGAAAGGGAAATCCACAATCGCAGTAAAAGACAGGAAAGGGTCAGAGCACAGTAAATCAGTCCAATCAAACAAACAAATCCAGAGGGTGAGCGGGAAAACCAGGAAAGAAACTAAAGATTTGTAAAGGTTTCGAAGCTTCATAAAGCAGTGTTTCGGAAACGCCCATACGTTTACATAAATATTTTGAATGTCTGTTTTTGTCCAATTAAACCTCTAGTATCTTAAATCCCTGTTACTAATCTTGTTTATTTTCATTGTGTGTCCCAGTTTAAACTATAAACCAGTTGAACAATTTTTATTTATCCAATATATAGACCACTATGATCCAGCTTTGTAGAAATAAATGGGCCTTTTTATTGAAGGACCTATATATTCTCTGCTGCAAGCGTGAGCATGAAGGTGTAAGTAGAAGATATGATGGTATTGCTGAGGGACCTTCAGGCTCTACATGGAATAAACAAATAAACATGATTTATTTGCTCATTTAAGGTGCTAGTGTCTGTAGATTATTACTTCAGGGTCTCATTTCCTCCAATTATGCGCAATGCTTCCATAGCACGGCGTGAACAATGGTTTTGTGTAGCGTAGCTAACGCAGGAACGCACACGACTGTCCACAGAGAGTCACATGAGCGTCTGTATGTGTAACCAAGGACTTGTATTCATGTGTGTGTTTTGCGTGCAGTTTCCCTTCATATGAGAAAGTAATTATGCATTTCCCAAGGAGCCAGATCTGCAAAATGAAGCCCCCTCGTTAGATGATGGTAATCACTGGTGTTGCGTAAACACAATTTAGCCGGAGATGTTATTGGTATCTCTTGTCATAATATCTTGACACTGAGATGTATGACTTGTGTGAAGCAAAGAGATATTTGATTTCGTGGACCGCAGCTCTGCAGCTGTATAAGACGATCCACAACACACCAATCGCACAGAAATCCAATAACGGCCAGAGTCTACAGTCTCTCACAATTGGCCTATAAAGTGATTACTGTTACAGTACAGGGAGCCGACGTGCGCTCGTGATGAATGCTGAGCTTTGGTCAGAACCGGCAGTTCAATCATTCTCACGCACATGCAATCCTACTCAGATAAGGATTTTACGCTGGAGGAGTGTAATCTGTACATAATATGTTCAAGACTGAGATCTGAATACTTAAGAATGTGCCCGTTCAGAGCTGTGATGTGTTCACAGGGATCCAGGATTGAACCGGGCCTATCCCATTCCCATTCCCAATCCCTCGACGGTCCTTTGAATAAATATACCTCAACAACATTATCTAATAATTCTGTCAGCCAAAAGAAGATGTTTGAGAAAATGTCCGCGCTGCTCTTTTCCAGACAGCGAAGGTTTATACTGATTTATACTGTCAAGCTCCAGCAAGGAAAACAATCTAAATGCACGTATGCAGTATATGCATATCAAAGTGGTCTATATACGGCTTTATATTCCGAGTCCTCTGAACATACTTAAGTCCATGCCATTATTTACTGATTACATTTCCCTCCAACGCAGCTGGAAAATCTAATTTGCGATTGTATTTAATGCAAAAGTGCGGTCTTTAGAAGCGCTGTGCAATGCTTGACATCTGAGATTTGAGAGATATTGTAGAGGAAGAAAACACCAGCTGAAATTCAGATTTGTGTAGGTTTATTGCACACAAGTTGCATGAATTACTTGTAATCTTTTGAATAAAGCACCACCAATGTTTGATGAACGAAGAGCAACTATTCATCGAAAAAAAGGCAGTAATTGTCTTGCTGATTTTTTTGTTCTTTTGCAGATACTCCTCTAAACTGTATGACTTCTGGACTAGCTCTGTGGCCGAGAAGTCACAGTTCAATCTCCAGAAGCCGCTGATATCCCGAGACCACCGCACGAGACTCATCTCCGTCAACTTCAGCCCGCAGGTCTCTCATACATGCAGCTCAGTATGTTGATAATGTTATCCATGGGCTCCAGTTCCAGCAGTGAATGTGAGTGTTATCTGGTCCTGTAGCTGGTGTCGGTTCTGCGGGAGGTGAAGTACCTGAAGGCCAGGCAGGCTGAAGCCATCCCAGATATGGCTGATGACATCTATTCCAAGAGGGAGTTGCTGTGGCAGTATGTGGCCAATCTGGAGCTCACAACCAACTGGTACAACAGAGTGATGAGCAACGTGTTAGAGGTGGAGATGCCCCTGATCCAGAGCCAGCTGACAGACATCGATGCCAAGCTGGAAGAAGCGGAGAACAGCCTCTGCTGGACAAGCCAAGGTAGAGCTATTGAATGTACACTAGTAGATCTATTAAGATCATCTACAGACGTTAGTGTGATGCAATCACCATGAACACTCAAATCTGCCTGAACATCAGCTTATTTCAGTGATATCTGGCAGGTAATAGGAACATTTTCCACAAAATATTTCAGACAAATCTCTTTTTTGTTGTTCACAGCACTTATTATGGTAACACTTTACAATAAGGTTCATTAGTTAACATCAGGTAATGTATAAACTAACATGAACTAACATGAGCAATACATTTGTTACAGTATTTATTAATCTTAGTTAATGTTAGTTAATAATAATCCAGCTGTTCATTGTTCATGTTAGTTCACAGTGCAGTAACTAATGTTAACTAATACAACCATTGATTTTTATAACGTATTAGTAAATGTTGAAATTAATATTAACTAAGATTCTAAATGCTGAATAAGTATTGTTCATTATTAGTTCATGTTAACTAAGGTAGTTAACTAATATTAACTAATGAACCTTATTGTAAAGTGTTACCTTATTACCATAGAGCTCTGATCAAAAAACTTTTATCGGTTTGTGTTTTTATTTTATGATTGACGTTTATTATATTTAGTATTCTTATTTTTTTTATATGCTCAAGTCTGTGTTTTAAGTCTGGTCTCTTAATCAAGCTTTTTTGTACTTTGTTAAAGGAATAATTCACTGTCATGTTCCAAACCCGTATGATTTTTTCTTCTCCCGACGAGCACAAAAGCAGATGTTTAGCTGAATGTTCATGCTGCTCTTTACAATGCAAATGAACACACCACAAATGACCTTTGCAAATGTCCATTGTCAGGTTTGAAATGACATGATAATCCACTCTTTTGATTTAGAATACTCTAACTAAAAGCTCTACCTTTCTAATGTGTTAGGAATTTGGGAATACATCCAGGACAAACGTGAGCTGGTACATGACTTGGAGCAACGGCTACAGAGGACCAAGGACAATGTGGAGGAGATCCAGACCATCATGAAGAGCTGGACTACGCCAGTGTTTGAAAGGAAGGAGGGGAAGAAAGATACTCTCTTAAACCTGGATGATAAGACCGAGCGTCTGGAGAGAACGTACAACCACATCCGAGCCTCCGGAGCCAGGATCCATCTGTTACTGAAAGTATGCTGTGACAAAAGCCAGTGGGAATCCCGTCCAATGACAACTGACAAAATGGCGCATGTTCAACATTTCTTTTGTTTTTATCTTGTTCCAGGACAATTTGTCACTCTTTAAAGCAGACCCGTCCTCTGCACAGTGGAGGATTTATGTGGAATACATTGATGAAATGCTCATCGACGGTTTCTTCGATGCTATTGAGAGCTCCCTCAAGTTCTTCATGGAAAACACAGGTGTGCTGTCTAATTATTTTTTAAGCCTCAGTAAAAGTAATTATAGGGGTTTCCCTTGACGTTCCTAGCACTGCAGATTGATTATTCCACACTACAGTAACACACGAATCCCCTGATACAGACCAGAAGGCTGGCTTCGACCCTCTCTTCGAGGCCCAGCTGTGTCTGCAGGCTCCGGAGATCATATTCCGCCCGTCTCTGGAGTCGGAGGCTTCAGACGGCTTCCCTCATCTGGTGGAGAGCCTCATCAATGATGTCTTTAGGATCTCCACGCTTGTGCCACGGTTATCTGAGCACATCGGGTTCCCACACTATCAGGTACAAATCACGTGAATAAACTCAACGATCCTTTATTGTCTTCTTTAAAGTCATCGTGAAAGGTGTCTAATCCATTTTACATGCTAAGGTTGGAGGGGAAGTGTTAAAAAGTAAGAAGGGTTTTATGATGTCAGCGGACAATTAGTCATTTCAAAGGCAGATCAAGTCATTCCCGGAAAACAAAAATATATTAAAAAATGTTTTGCTACCATTTGTTACGATTAAGTTAAGTTAGTTTTCAATAAGTTATGAAAATGCTATTTCTGAATGTTTTATAAATGTTCAAAATGTCCAGTTTTTAAAACATTAAAGAAAGGACAATTCCGGCGCAAAATGAACCTAGGGGTTAATAACACATGGGTACGAGTCGACCGTTCTCTGGGATGTGTTTTCATGATAATCGAATGTACCCAGTTTTAGCTCGAACCACAGATTAGCTTATAACACTAGTATATGGGGCATAGAGTAAGTAAAAATAAAAATCGCTAGTTAATACCACTAACAAGGCTCAAAATAGCCCCACACTAACACGCTAGCATAATGAGGGTCCCTACCTGCAAACCGAAGCATTGAGAATGCTTTATAAAGACAGTCCACATCGCGTATACAGGCAGGAGCCATCTTGGAAAACAGTCTCGACCAGTCGAGAAGAATGTTTGTTCATAACTTTGAGAGAACCTTGCCACAACGCTAGCTAGAGTCCTGAGAAAGGTCCTCATATGCTGGTTTTGAAAAGATTATAAAGAACAGACTTTTTTTTATCTGACTTGTGCACAGTGAAACCAGAAACGTACAACAACAAGAGCAGACAATTTAGTTTTCATGTTATTTACAATCGGATATATTGACATAGTGGTCTTGTTGCTTCAGGCTGATATGGAGGACATGCTGGATCTGGCAGGAATGAGGCAAATTCTTTCGGAGCGTGTGAAGAAAATCATGGGAAAGTGCCTTGAGTACCGCAACACCCTCGAGCGCTACGCCTACCTGTACGTGGATGACCGGGCGGAGTTCATGCAGCAGTTCCTGCTGTACGGGCACATCCTCACGAGTGACGAGGTCGAGGCCCACGCTGAGCACGGCGTCCCAGAAGCCCCTCCCACGCTCGAGCACTTCCGCCAGCAGGTCGACTCGTACGAGCGCCTGTACGAAGAGGTGCAGCGACTGGAGCCCATACATGTGTTCGAGGGCTGGATGAGGGTGGACGCTCGTGCCTTTAAATCTGCCCTGCTCAACGTCATCAAGAAGTGGAGCTTGATGTTCAAACAGCATCTCATCGATCATGTGACGAACAGGTAACAGCACTGAGTAGCTAATTCCATGACAAATATGCTAATCAGAGGCAATTGAAGGTGCAAAATGCTCTGCCTGATTTTGTACAAGGTGCTTGAATTTGACGTTTTGAAATTTAAGGTTGGAAAACGTCTCAGGTTACTACTGTAACCATAGTTCCCTGAGAAAGGGAACGAGACGATGCGTCACTTGACGCTTTGGGAACGCCCCTAGCGTGAATGCGTCTGAGCACCAATGTCAACTAGTCCAATGGAAAGAATGAGCGTCACGGGCGGGTGACGTCATGACCAGGAAGGCATAAGAGCACATCCGGTGAAACGCGGCATTAGCTTCAAAAAGTCGAAGCAAGCCGATCACAGGGATGCAGGAAGTATGGCAGGGTGACGCATCGTCTCGTTCCCTTTCTCAGGGAACTATGGTTACAGTAGTAACCTGAGACGTTCCCTTTCGAGGGAACTCGCGATGCGTCACTTGACGCTTTGGGAACGAGAATACCCAAAACGCCAGAATTCCAAGTACCTGAGTGTCAGTCTGTTGGAACTAAGCACTAAGCACCTGAGAACCTGGGGCAGCATCCAGGTCCAAACTGTAAAACCTGACGAATGTGAGCGGTGAAGACCAGCCTGCCGCATCACAAACGTCTTGAAGAGAAACCCCAAATAACAAGGCTTTAGAGGCCGCCATACCCCTCGTTGAGCGAGCTCTGACCACCAAGGGACACGGATGGTCAGAGTACTCGTATGCAAGTGAAATAGCCTCGACTATCCACTTACTAACCGTCTGTTTAGAAGCAGGAAGACCCTTCTTAGGTGATCCAAAGCAAATAAATAGCTGGTCGGACTTCCTCATTGAAGATGTCCGATGAACATAAGTATCCAGTGCTCGCACTGGACACAAGAGGTTCAGCCTTTCCTGGTCCGCAGATGTAAAAGGAGGACAGAAACCTGCAGCACAATAGGCCTCGGAATAATGGTAGGCACCTTTGGAACATATCCATGTTTAGGGTAAGATTGCCTTGGCCATCCCCGGTGCACTCAAGGCAGGTGGGGACCGAAAGGGCCTGAAGGTCTGACTCTAATAGGAACGAAATAGCTAGCAGAAAATAGTCTTAAAAGAAAGGAACTTCTCTGAGACCAAATCTAAGGGCTCGAAGGGAGCCCCAGATAGGCCTTCTAGAACTATTGCAAGGTCCCAAGCCAGCACCCTAGTGCAAGTTGCAGGCCTCAGCCTCAAAGTGCCACGAAGGAAACAAGTGATCAGGGGGTCTCGACCCAAAAATGTACTACCCACCAGGGCGTGGAAAGCCTCTCCTGAGGAAGGTCTCTCCTGATCGGGACCTCCAAGGGAGGTACGTCGAGGAGAAAAATTAGGTCCGCAAACCAAATTCAGCTCGGCCAGGGTGGTGCTACTAAATAGGCTTATTCCATCCTGGCGGAATCACTCCAGAACTCCTGGGAGCAGAGCAACAGGGGGAAATGCGTACAGACGTAGCCTCAGCCACGTCTGCACCATAGCAACCAGCCCCGAGGGGACTGGTTGAGTGAGGGATAACCAGAGTGGACAGTGCGTCGTATGCTGAGACGAGAACAAATCCACTTCTGCCTGGCCATAAAACTCCCATATTTGCTCCACCGCCTCGGGGTGGAGTCCCCTGGCCTCAGCCCCTGCCTCGACAGGGTGTCTGCTCCAATATTCTGGCCCCCCTGGAATATACACTGCCCTCAGACAGCGTAATTTCCTGAGGGACCAAAATAATAGGCCACCAACATGTTGTCTGTGGGTCAAGAACCAGAGTTTCCTCCATATAACCAAGGCGCGGGGATACTGCCGCGTGATCTTGATCGTACGGAGTGGGTTTCCCCTCAGGGAGAACCCTCTGGTCCTGAGCCACCACTGTAAAGGTCTCACGTACAGCAGGTCAAAGGGTATCACATTGAACGCTGCTGCCCTGAGGCCTAACAGTCACTGTTTCAGAACAACACATGATGGCCCCTCAGGTCTGGGAGGAGATGTCTCAACGCATTGAAGACGACCATCATCTCTAGGCAATTCATGTGCCAAGAGAGATGATGACTCCTCCCAAGCCCTGAGCTGAGCGGCCTTCCAATACCGCTCCCCAGCCGGTGAGGGAAGCATCTGTCGAGATAGCAACTCGATGGCAAAGAGCTCCCAACACCGAACCCTGGGTTAAGAACCAGTGTTTCCTCCATATAACCAAGGCACGAAGGCACGGCCGCGTGATCTTGATCATACGAAGTGGGTTTCCCCTCGGGGAGAACCCTCTGGTCCTGCGCCACCACTGCAAAGGTCTCATGTACAGCAGGCCAAAAGGTATCCCGTTGGACGCTACTGCCACAAGACCCAACAGTCTCTCGAACTGTTTTACAGTGCGTGACTGGCCTAGCCTCAGCTCTTTTGTGGCTGTTAGGATAGCAGCTACACGAACGGGCGACAGAGTGGCCCGCATCGTCACTGAATCCCATACCACACCAAGGAAAGTGGTTCTCTGTACTGGAGAAAGCACACTCTTCTTGGCATTGAGCCTCAACCCCAACATCTGCATATGAGCGAGAACGACACCTCGGTGCCGAACCGCTAACTGTTCTGATTCCGCTAGAATCAGCCAGTCATCTATGCAATTCAGAATGCGTATACACTGCAGCCTGGCGGGGCCAGAGCTGCGTCTATACACTTCGTGAATGTGCGGGGTGATAGAGCTAGACCGAAAGGAAGTGCCTGATACTGGTGTTCTTTGCCCCAAAGAAAACCTCAGGAACCTCCTGTGCTGAGGGAGGATGGAGATATGGAAGTATACGTCTTTTAGATCTATCGTGACAAACCAGTCCTCGGATCTGATTTGAGTCACGATCTGTTTGAGTGTCAGCATCTTGGACTTGAGTTCCAGCACCAAACACTCCAACAGACGAAGATCTAGTATGTGACGCTGCTCTCCATCCTTTTTTGGAACAATGAGATAACGACTGTAAAGACCCGACCAATGTCGGGTGAGTACACCTGCTTTATAGCTTTCTTTGCTAACAGGGCCTTTACCCCTTGCTCCATTACCAGAGAGATTACCATTACCCATAGAGATATATTTGGCAGTAGCTTCCGCGCTGCCAGAAAATCTACCAAGGGAACCAGCCCCTCGAGGCTGGCCTCTGGTGTAATAAAGACAGCCAGTTCGGGGACCTGAAACATACTGGCAGGAACCACCCGAACTGACTGTTTTCGAACCCCCCTCAGAGGGCGCGAGTCTGACGCAATGTCGAGTTGACGCTGCGCCAGAAGCTCGCTGGAGAACGCTGCGCCCCGAAGCACCAAGGGTGGCGGGGTTGGCAGAACGGTCCCCTGAGGGCACAGAGATGGAAAGGGCACCGTATAATGAGGTGTACACCATTCCACCCCGGTTGGGGCTGCCCTCACCGGTCTGACGCCGTGGCGCCAGACCTTTTCTTTTGAGCCGCAGCCTTCTCAGCATGAAGAACGGTCCTCGGATCCGGCTTCTGCTTTGAAGGCTTTGGCTGCTGTGTTGTGTATGAGAAACTAGCCGGCTGGAGCTGCTCACGCCCAGCAGCCCCAGTGGGTTGGACATAGCGAGGGAGAGATTATCTTGTATCTTTCTCCATGATTCCCATCAAATTGAGCCAGAGGTGTCTCTCAGTGACCACATTTCTTTGGCTGCCATCCCTGAGAGATAAATCTGAGGCCCGACGGAGTTCTCAAACCCCATCGGGCCAAACTCCCTCACTTCTGCCAAATACCACAGCAGGTCAGCCTGATATGCTTGCAGCACTGCTATAGTGTGCAAGCAGGCTCGTGCTAGACCCACTGCCATATATGCTTTTCCCACTAGATTAAAAAATAGTTTTCTTTAATGGTTTAGTGAGAGAAGCCGACGCCTTCAGGGACGATACTGAACCGGGAGACATAGCTCGCAAGTGTCTGTTCTACCCGGGGTATTGCCCCATAGCCATACTCTCTTAACCCCCAAATATCTGAATATACATGAATGTGGGGCTAAAAAATGAGTAAGGCTTTTTCCATGATCTAGACAGCTCGCTGTGCAGATCGGGAAAAATGGAAGGCCCCGTGATGGAGGTGGAAAAATAGAGGGAAGGAAACTCGTACAATTTATTTTAAGGACGAGTGCCCCCTTATTTCTGCTGGCCATTAAATATTTAATTTATCTACAGCCTAGTAAACACCTCCACCAGCTTATTATTATATATATATATTTTTTATATACATTCTTTATATATATACACTTTATTTTATATATAATATATAAACTATCATATATATATATATATATATATATATATAGGCTATATATAATTCTCATACGCTGGGGAAGAGATGGCAAATCCACTTCCGCCATGATTGTGTACACTTTCAATGCCCAGCACATCTACCTCCTCGGAGGTAGAGCACTGAAGCATTGATTTCTCTCCCCGGGCGGAAGAGACCGCAGCGCGGGCTTCCGAGACCGGAGAGAGAGCACTGGATCCCTCGTGGAAAGGGAGGAGATAAGATCCGCGGACCCGTCTCCAACCCCGTAACGAGATCCTATTCGCGATCCACAGGAATGCATTCTCCGCGCTGCCTCGGCAGACGCGTGTCCTGCACCCCGAGGATCGCGAGCCTGGCCACTTTCCTCGAAAAGTGACAGGCGGGAGTGGAGCATGCGAAGCGAAAGCTTCTCACAATGTTGCAATCAGCCCCCTCGGAGGCTGATACCGCATGCTCCACTCCCAAACAAACTACACAAAGCTCGTGTGTGTCCCCACCCGTTAAATAACGCGGGCAGGGGGAAGCACAGAGTTTGTAAAGTTGTTTCGCCATAACTCTTCCCAATAATATCGAACAGACAACAATAAATAGACAGAGACAGAGTAACACAGATCGCTTGCTGAGACACAGAAGCTAATGCCGCGTTTCACCGGATGTGCTCTTATGCCTTCCTGGTCATGACGTCACCCGCCCGTGACGCTCATTCTTTCCATTGGACTAGTTGACATTGGTGCTCAGACGCATTCACGCTGGGGGCGTTCCCAAAGCGTCAAGTGACGCATCGCGAGTTCCCTCGAAAGGGAACTCTTGAAAACAGCCATATTTCTGAAAAGGTGCTTGAGTTATTGAAAGACAATAGGCTATTTTAGAAAATAGCGTTTAATTTTGTTGATAAAACAATCTTTTCGCACCCATCTGTAGTGATATAGAGCCATTTAGCACAGCTATGAGCGTGATATTGCTCATATAATTATTCAAGTATATTATACAGCTTTCATTCTTTAGGTCAATATACATATTCAAGGGAGAAAAAATCAGTTTAAAAAAATATGGAAAGCGATATCTTTGTCACAGTATCCTTGTAATAGTTAAAGTTACCGCAGTCATTGCATGTGCGGCACTTTATTTGTACCATTTTGTTGTATTTTTTTTTTTATTGATCTATTTACCATTTTTATAATTTGAAAGATAATTAAGATATTGTTTGATAAGTGAGATCTCTGATTCTTGTCCTTGAAAACCAAAAAAGTAGTGCTTGAAAAGTCCTTGAAAGTTTGGGAATTTCATTTATCAGTATCTGTACGAACCCTGTGTTAATCCACGCGTCGTGTGATCGTTAGTCTGTCCGACCTGGAAGAGTTCATCAGAGTGACGGAGACTGGATTTGGACAGAAAGTGGAGGAGGGCGACTATGACGGTCTGAAGGAGATCATGGGTTTCCTGATGGGGGTGAAAGACCGGCAGAGCGCTACAGACGAGATGTTCGAGCCTCTGCAACACACCATCGATCTGCTGAAGACTTATGAACAAGAACTGCCAGATGTGGTTTACAAGCAGCTTGAGGTAAGTGTCTCCATAAAGTGTTGATCGTGTTGATCGTGTGGCCTCTGAGGGAAGGTTTTACTGAACGCTGATAGATAAAGCCATTAGATTGCTTAATTGCGGCTTAGAACTGCTAGGAATGAGGATCTTGAAGCTTTATTAGCAGTAACTGTTCTATAGCCTGATGTTCTGCGGGTAGATATCCTGAATGTAGAGTATTATTTGGACTGCTGTCGAAAAGGCCAGCTTAAACATGCATTCCCATGATGGTTCCGGGCCGGATTCAGGAAAAACTTCTTCAGAAAGAACTTAAGAAATTTTTCAAAAAAAAAAACAAAAAAAATGTCCCTTAGTTAAATAAAAAAATAAAAAAAAGTTCTTTCTTTTTCTTTCAAAAGTTTTATAAAGTTCTCAAATATTCTCTTAAGGCAAGACACCCCAGGTGAATAGGGTAAAAAAAAAAAAAAAACTAATAGATATCACCATACTTCGCTAGTTGATTGATTACTGTCATGATTCTGCCCTCGTGTCCTTGATTTTCTCTAGTCTTGAGGCAGGGTCATGACAGAATCATGTTTTGTGTGCAAGCACATGGTCTTGTGTTTTGAGCCATGTGCTTGTGTTGTCTCGTTACGTTACCCCGCCCCCTTGTTATCCTTGTCTCGTCATTATTGTCTAGTCAGTTTCACCTGTCTTTGTCATTAGTGTCTCCCTATTTAATCCCCTTGTGTTTGCTGTCCTGTGTCGGTACATTGTGAGTATTTTGTCTGAAACCTGTTTATTGAGAATTGTGAGTTTGTTTCCTGTCAAGTCAGAGTCTTCGTTTGTCATCGTGTCTTAGTCTACCTCCAGTCCTGTTTTGCCCCATCGTGGGTTTTGTTTTCTGTTTTGTCATCATTAAACCCCTTTTGAGTTATTTGCTGTCTGCGCATGGGTTCGTTCCTCCATCCTCATGACAATTACATTAATAATTGCAAACATTTTTTGTATTACAAGTTTTCTGAAATGTTGTTTAAATATGCAAATGAGATGTTATCTAATTAAATATACACTAAATTGTATATATTTCTAGAACAAAAATCTGAACATTGGATGAAGTCAGGTTCAAAATCCTTTTTTTTATATATAGAGTCTATAAAGGTTTTTACAGAATGTCTCCATCAGTGCACAAATCAGAAAATACTGTCAACAGCCAAAATAAATACATTTTCACCATTTATTTAGGAATAAAATGTTGTATAAAATCAGGACAATTATATATGAACAAACCCCTCAGTAAAAACCTTAGAATATAGATAAGAATAAAACTGTAGAGTTTGGTGTGTGTAAGTGTTACTGAAGTGGAGATTTATGGCTCAATGTAGGAGGAAAAACTCACTTTGAGAAAACGGCCTGTAAAGATATACACTATTGAAATCTACAGACGCAAATAGATACAGTGCTCTAAAAGAGACAGTTAAAAGTGTATTTTGGATGTTTTCTTTACACTGGTCTGAAAAAAACACTTTATGAAAAGCCAAAAAGCCCACAATCTCAAAGTTGACAGATGCCAAAAAAACACTGTTTTTCTTTTTGCCTGTAGTGTCTGGCCTTAATACGCTAGTGGCTAACATCATATGCTAGTGGCTAACATCATATATGCTGGTTTTTTGTGTGTCTGATGGACAGGTGCTGCCAGAGAAGTGGACCAACATGAAGAAGCAGGCTGTGGGGGTGAAGCAGCACGTGGCCCCGCTGCAGGCTAGCGAGGTGGCGAACCTGCGCAGGAAATGTGCCTCGTTCGATGTGGAGCAACACGCCTTCAGGGAGCAGTTCCGCAAGAATGACTTCTTCAGGTACAGAATGAGAATTGTTTCAAAGCAGCTTCATAGTAATAAACAGGAAAATTGCAGAATCAATGATGCAAACTTCATCAAATATGAGACAAATTCAAATTGTAAAGCAGCTCTACAGAAGAGTATAGGGTTGATATTCTGCTTACGTCTGTTCAATGTTTAGTTCAGATCGATATATGTGTGAAATCCATAGACTGTAAAAATAATATGTGTGTAGTGTGCGTGACGTCACCCGTAGTGTTTCTGAAGAGCGTTTTTGAAGCCCAAAGTGGGCGGAGCCGGCCGTCGCCATCTTGGCAACACGTCACTCCCGTATAAATGTGCAGCGATGCGGATTAGCTGAGGTGACGTGACGCTAACGCTAGCAGACAAACGGCTAGTAGTGACATCAGCGGCAATCCACCTGTCACTCAAGTGGCCACGCCCTTAATTATGCAGAACTTTAAGGCTTAATATAATTCAAACGGATGAGTTATAGAAAAAATCACCCCTCTCACAGTCGTCATGAAGGACAACATTATCTATATAGACCAAAACCACTTTTTGCACCAGACTGTGAACATGTTTTATTCTGCTGTGAAGTTAGGCATTTTAACATGCGGGTCTATGGGATTGAGTCTCTCCTGCAGCCGGCCTCTAGTGGCCAGTGGAGGAACTGCAGTTTAACTCACTTCAGTGTTGGGTTCAAGAGAGAGACCGGACGGTTGCAGCCTTGGTGAAATCTGGTCTCCATTTGTTTTCAGATTTGACTGTGTGAATCCGCATGAGATGCTGGACGCCGCACACGAACAGATCCAGGAGATGGATACTATGATGGCTGGGCTCATTGAGTCGGCTAACCTCTTTGAAGTGAACATATCAGACTATAAACAGCTGAAGCAGTGCCGAAAAGAGCTGCCCATCCTCAAGGAGCTGTGGGATCTGGTGCTGGTGGTGCAGTCGTGTCTGGACGCCTGGCAGATGACGCCCTGGAGGCAGATCAACGTGGATGACATGGAGATGGAGTGCAAGCGCTTCTCCAAAGAGCTGCGAGCGCTGGACAAAGAGGCTCGCTCGTGGGACGCCTTCAGTGGACTCGACGGCACCGTGAAGAACACGCTGATCTCGCTGAGAGCCGTCGCCGAGCTCCAGAACCCGGCCATCCGACCGCGCCACTGGCTCCAGCTGATGAACGCCACCGGGGTCCACTTCACCATGGACCAGGACACCACGCTGGCCGACCTGCTGCGCCTCAACCTGCACCACTTCGAGGACGAGGTGCGGGGCATCGTGGACCGGGCCGTGAAGGAGATGGGCATGGAGAAGGTGCTCGGCGAGCTGGACGCCACCTGGACCAGCATGGCCTTCGACTTCGAGCCTCACCCACGCACCGAGATTCCTCTGCTGAAGTCCAACGAGGAGCTCATCGAAACGCTGGAGGACAACCAGGTGCAGCTGCAGAACCTCATGACATCCAAGTACATCGCGTTCTTCTTGGAGGAGGTTTCCACGTGGCAGAAAAAGCTCTCGGTGACTGACTCTGTGATCTCCATCTGGTTTGAAGTGCAGAGGACTTGGTCTCACCTGGAGAGCATCTTTATCGGATCGGATGACATTCGCTCTCAGCTACCCGAGGTCGGTTTTGCTGATGTGTTTCTATTATTGTTCATTCTTTCTTTACTGAAAACTTATCTTGCCCTCGAATAGCCACCAAACACACATGCAGAAACTAGTAAAGAAGGAAATGTGAAACAGACTTTAGTTGAGAAAGATTTGAGTAGCATCTTGTCCTGCCCTCTGGCACTCTATTCATAGATCTAGATGAGAGATGAAAATGCTTTTGGCCGAAAACATTTGGTTAATTACTGCTGGGCGCCTGCGGCCGGAGACACAGATGTTCTGCAGAATGTCAGAGGGTTTTTTGAGGATTTTCTTCATGGCAAACTAAGTTGTCTCGACTCACGCTCTCATGAATGTCTCCACAGGATTCCAAACGCTTTGACGGTATCGATATTGATTTTAAAGAGCTGGCACTGGATGCCAGAAAAACACCGAACGTCGTGGAGGCCACCAATAAACCCGGGCTCTACAGCAAACTAGAGGGCATGCAGAGCAGGTTTGCAGCTGATTACCTTCTGCTGTCAGAGGAACGCTTTAGTCTCCTTCATTTGTTCCTGCTCCCCTTATTCTTTCCTTTCCTACATAAAGAACGAGATATTAGACAGAATGCTTGACCAGCTCTTTTCCTTAAAACACACGTTGATGATGACTTGAGGCCCGTTCACACCAAGGACGATAACTACAACTATAAACAGAAACTAACTATAAAGTTTTAATGATCATTCTAATTCTATGGAAATAGTGGAGTCCATAATTATAACGATAAAGACTAAGATGAACGATATCGTTGGAATCACTTTCAGAGCGAAAGACAGCCAATCAGAATCCATCCTGCTTTAAGAGCTCAAGCATTTAAAGAGACAAAAGCAACAAAACTTCAGTGTGCTTAAAATAAACAGAACATTATAATAAACAGGTGCAGGTGCTAATATAATTATAGTTATTGTTCATCTGTGAGACACTAATATAGTTATCGCTAGCTGATGTGGATGCTAGTCATCATTAAAGTTATTGTTCTCGGTGTGGGTGGGTCTTTAAACTGTCAAGCATTAGAAAGACCAATAAAGCATCATGAATCTGCCATAAAGTTGTTCATAAGACCTGTACTCTATATCCCACCTATTCTGAAGCCATACCAGGAGTTTGTCTTTATTCACTAACAATTCTCACATATTTCATTCAAACTCATGGTCAATTAAAAATGGCACATTTGGACACTTTCTTGATGGCACTTATTTTTTAGTGCATCATGTGACTGACTGTGTAAACTATTCCTTTAAAGTCCTCATTTCAGAAAGCACACCGTGTCCCATGATGCTTTGCGTTGAGCTGCTGGTCATCTCTCAGATTGAGAGAGTGAAGTCATTGCACCTGTTTTTGCAGATTGTCTCTGTGTGAAAAAGCCCTGTCTGAGTATCTGGACACCAAACGCTTGGCCTTTCCACGCTTCTACTTCATCTCCTCAGCGGACCTGCTCGACATCCTGTCCAGCGGCACTGACCCGCACCAGGTACACCCCAGAGTACACCCCAGAGCACACAACACGAGCACACAACACGAGCACACAACACGAGCACACAACCGGCCTCATGTACACCTGCTTCTGTGCTTAAACCTTGCAGCACTAAGGAGAAGGTTTGCTTATGGCATTTATTTGCCTTTTGCACACACTAGATGGCAGTGTTGATTCCTGCTTGCCAAATTGTCTTGAAGGCAGATTGCAAGTTTCCATATGCCACATTAGGACACACTTCACCGGAAATAGCAGCTGTGCAGTTGTGAAGCCTTGCGTTTTCTCCCTCAGGTTCAGAAACATCTTTCAAAGTTGTTTGACAATATGGCGAGGTTGAAGTTTGAGACGGACGGCGACGGCAACCTCACCAAGACGGGGCTGGGCATGTTCAGCAAGGAGGACGAGTACGTCCCCTTCAGTCAGCCCTGCGACTGCACTGGGCAGGTACAGCACACCGTACCCACAATGCACCAGCAATTATCAGGAGGGCAATTAGAGGAGTTTGTTTACAGAGACACTCTGCAGCGCACTGTTTACTGAAGGCATTTTAATTAGGGATGAAATGACATACAGGCATGAATGACACCTCAAATCATGCTCTTTGTGGAGGAGAGGAGTGCTGTTACTCTTCTAAGTGACTAACAGTAAATCAGGTGAAATAATCCCATAGATTTAACCTGAGTTCAGAGTATCAGAGATGTGCTCTTTTGACCCAGAAACCTCTCGCACTTTCCACAGGGAAACCCTTTCTTCAGAAACGGTGTAAATGTAGTCATGTTTGGAGGATGTGCTGTTATAATGCTGATAATGCTGTGTATCACGCCACTATCTGATCCTGCTGCTGAAGTTCTGTGTTCTGCTGGAGTTCTGCTCCAGCGCTCCTCAAACATCTGCTTATGGATTAGACAGATGCATACATATGTGTAGTGGAACTAATTTACAGTGTGAGGCTGCTGACAAGCTTCTCATGGCACTGGAGTGGTTTAATGCATGGAGCTGTGCTTGTTCAGGTGGAAGTGTGGCTGAACCGTGTCCTGGACTCCATGCGTGACACTGTGCGTCACGAGATGACCGAGGCCGTCGCGGCCTATACAGAGAAGCCCCGGGAGCAGTGGCTGTTCGACTACCCGGCACAGGTATTCCACTCATTATCACTCATGAATCTGACACTAACTCACTGCTTGTAAACATCCCTAGGCTGATTTTCTGAAATAGAATTGCTGCATAGAATTAAGATATTGGGAGATATTTCTGGCAGTATTGCTCTATACGAGCCCGAGGGTATGCCTGCATGTGCTTACGGAATGAAGGCTGTTTTTTGGGTGTTCGCAATTTGCCTAATAGCAACAGTGGATGTATGTGTCTTTAAATCATGATTCTTCATTTTATATGGTGGTGTGCAAACGTCTGAGACCGAAAATGGGATTCAAAGCCTCATTTAAACCTGTGAATAAAAATTGCAGGGATTTGAAGAATGTTATGACAAAAATGTTATGACAGAAGACATTCTTCTGGGCACTAATCGAATTTTCTCGTACCTTCGCAAACTAAACAATTATGAAAATGTTTTAAATTCTGAATTAAAATTCATTTTGATATTTCTTTGGAAGTGTAAAGTCAAAAATGTCGGCGTGTAATGACTAACCGGCTGTCATAATGAACAAAAAAAGGAGGAAATTCTTGAAAATGAAGGTATTTTGGCATTATCCTTTTTTCTGCCAAACAATTTTTTTTTTTTTTTTTTTTTTTTTTTACAAATAACCAAATTACAAGCAATATCACAAATAAATACAATAGAACAAGATACAAATCAGAGAAACTGTGCTTTTCAGGTTTTTCAGGTAGGTCTAAAAATTGAATAGGTAAAAGTAATCAAATATAAAATAACACAAATAGTCTTCACTGTACAAATTAAATATAGATTCATCCTTATGAAAGTTACAAAAGTTATTCAGTCAAGAGCAGTGAGTATTTTTTTCTTTTTTTGTTGTTGTTTGAATAATATTATGACAGACGGCAGCAGGAATATAAGGCTGCTGTCACTTTAAGACTTAATGGACATTTCTAAAATACTGTTACACATCTCAGCTGTTTACGTTCACTTAAGACATGTTTACTGGGATATTCGCCAAGACGGGTATTTTGAAATAATTTTGTCTGTATTTGTCCATTCATGCAATAGTCCTTAAATTGACAAGGCTTAACACATGTGCGACTGATAAAGTTTTGTGACGATTCAGTTCCGTATGTATATTTATATATATATTGCATCAATACATTATATCGTTATTCATCTTTTTTTTTTCTTACACCTTGAATACATGTGTGTGCATCTTACATTTTATTAGTTTTTATGTCATTGACCCACATACTGTACCAAACACTAAGACATCCTGACATCAATGTGGAACTTTTCACTCGTTGTTGTGCTGATAATATCATTTGTAATAAAACCAAGTGTAATAATCAGCACAATGCGAAACAGCCAGCCACTGTTGCTGTGTGTACTTCCACAGGTGGCTCTCACCTGCACTCAGATCTGGTGGTCGACTGATGTAGGTATTGCGTTCTCCAGCCTGGAGCAGAGATATGAGAACGCAATGAAGGAACACTACAAAAAGCAAGTGAGTCAGTTAAACACCCTCATCACCATGCTGATTGGCCAGCTCACGCCTGGAGACCGGCAGAAAGTCATGACCATCTGCACCATCGACGTCCATGCGAGAGACGTGGTGGACAAAATCATTGTGCAGAAGGTACAGCTATTTGTCTCCATATCATCTGCCCATATCAAGTGTTATTTTCTCCAGATTTCTGCAGATGAGTTGAGCCCACACATGCATTAGGGGTCTCATAAGAGAATACTCAATTCTGGCTCTATTCACACAATTTGCCAGCATAATGAAAGTCTCGATGTGCTCTCATGTGATTTACTCATATTTGGTCTCACTTGAAGGCCCAGGGTTCTGTAGAATAGAAGTCAGATTGGCTGGAGGCCTTTTCTCATGACTGGCATCAGGGCTCTCACGTCGCTCTGACCTCTGCATTGCAGACAGCACCGCTGGAAGGGGATGTTAGGCGATTGCCCGATAGCTAGAACGCAGGGTTTGAGCACATTACACAGTGGAAACATGTATTTGAGCTTCGAACTTAAAAAACTCCTGAAGATTGAAAGAGAAAACAACTTGTGCATGAACGCTTATCAATAAGAAATACTGTATTTTTGATTACGAAACGTGATTTTATTTCTCTAAACAATTGATCTGAGTTCTAAAACTAAACAGTATAATAATGAATTTTCTCTCCTGATATTGTGAAGGGATATTCCTAAACACTACTAGAATCTGATTTATTCCAAACGCATTGCATACGTCATGTGAGTCATTGGCAGCCTTCATAAGTAGAAATGGTTTGAACTTTGAAGAGCACGATGCGATGCTTGACTGAAACTCTGCATGGGTTAGCCGTAACGCTGAGTTCACTTGCGTGAGTCATGGGAAAAGGCCTTCAGGCTTCTCATAAGAGAATATTCAATTCTGCCTTTATTCACACCATTCGCCAGCATAATGAAAGTCTGGATGAGCTCATATTGTGTCTCCTTCACGCTCCTCTCTCTCAGGTGGAGAGCTCTCTGGCCTTCCTCTGGCTGTCCCAACTGCGGCACCGCTGGGGTGAGAAGGAGAAGCACTGCTTCGCTAACATCTGCGACGCACAGTTCCTCTACTCGTACGAGTATCTGGGCAACACTCCTCGATTGGTTATCACTCCGCTCACAGACAGGTGAGACGCCCTGACAGACAGCTTTAGGTTTGAAGTGACTCGTTTTGAATATCCTCACAGAGACAGAGCCCATTAAGCCGTGAGTCCCGTCAGATGGCCTCGCTGAAGGAAGACAGGCTGCTCGGGAGGATCTGTCTTCAGCGCTCGGCCCTTTGAAAGCATAACAAAGCAGAGGCGCTCCTGTTTGATGGTCAAGTAAATGGCAGTGCAGCTTCCTGAGCATATGGTGCGTCTCTGAGCTCTCTGACCGAGTCTCAGTCCTGTCTTTCATTCTCACTGAAGAGAGAGAGCATGCAGACGATGACACCGGTGGCACAGATGGCTCCATTAAGATACGTGGCCGCTGGGAGTTATTCATCTGCGGAGCTGGCTCACTTTATAGAGATTTCTTAAAGCTTTAAATCAGTTTCCCCAAAAATATTTCATTTGCTGTTTTGCTTGGTTTATTATAAAATCAGTATTTGGACCTTGCAGGCTTATCAAAAACTCACCAGACTTGCATTTTATGAGTTAGGGATCATAAAAAATGTGCACTATTGTTCAAAAGTTTGGAGTTGGAAAGATATTTTTTAAAGAAATGAATACTTTTGTTCAGAAAGGACGCATTAAATTGATTAAATTATAATATTAAAAATTATTCTACAGTATTTCAAATAAATGCTGCTCTTTTGAATTTTATATTCATCAAAGAATCTTGAAAGAATCACAGTTTCCACAGAAATACGAAGCAGCATAACTGTTTTTGATTTGTTCTTTATTGATAATAATCATAAATGTTTCTTGATCATCAGATCCTCATATTAGAGTGATTTCTGAAGGATCATGTGACACTGAAGACTGGAGTAATGATGCTAAACATTCAGCTTTGATGCACAACATTGATATACAGCTTTAGAGTACAACATAACACAGTTGATCTGACTCGTAAGCATCACGAGTCGGACTGTACTCGTCGTATTGTACATTTTCAATTCCCTAAAAAAAGAATCCGAATCCGATTGTTTTTCCCAGACCAAAGGATGTTGATTCAGGAGCATTGCCTGTTTGTGTAAATTATGTAAAACAGTGCCATGCTTGCTTAATAATGCAAATGATCTTCACTGAAGGACTCTTCAGGGGTAAAGGCTTTGGTCTTCGCACAGGTCATCAATAAATACACCACACGCAATGTGGAGCACAAGGTGTAAAGGTGATCCATTCCCCCAGAATCGAGCTGTTTGCTCAGACCGAGTCTCTGGCCACAACAACAGCACACTGTAATAACAGGACTTTAGCTGTGGGTAAACCGGGGGTTTGAGGAAGTCTATGTTTATACGCCACATATTGTATGTGGAACATTTGTGTTGGTGTTTGTTTGCTGAAGCTTGTTCTTCTCCTCTCGAATGCAGATGCTACATCACACTGACCCAGTCACTGCATCTGGTCATGAGCGGAGCCCCGGCTGGACCCGCCGGCACCGGCAAAACCGAGACCACCAAGGACCTGGGCCGAGCCCTGGGCATCATGGTCTACGTGTTCAACTGCTCCGAGCAGATGGACTACAAGGTGACCGCAACTGAGAACATCACAGGCTGTTGAAATGGGCTTTTTGCATCTACATTTACATTTGGCATATGCTTTTATCCACAGTCACTTACATTGCATTGAAGGAATACAGTTGATCAGTTCATGCATTCCACGGAAATTGAACCCATGATCTCGGGTTCTGCTCCGACGTGTGAACGAATGAACAGGAACAGTACTGTGTCCCACAATGCAATGGGACTTGAGTGTACTTGATTCATTCAGTTCACCAACCAAACTCCCTGAATCAGTTGCAGCAGTCTCTCTCACCGTGTGCTTTATAACCCTTAAGCAGAAAGAGTGCTGGATGAGGCGCCCTGCAATTCATTGTACAGAGCTGGTCTTGTATTGTTTGCCAGTGCCGAGGCAGCTCTTTATTGCTCATGAGTGACTCTGCACTTCAGGTAAAGACAGTTATGGCCTTCCATAAGAGTATGGAAATATGGGGACACGTTACTGATGGAAAGCTAGAAACGCTCCTAATAATATTCTTTTTTCAATATAACCAGTGTTGTTTTGATCGGAACAGCTTTTAATCAAGTTCACAGCGAGCTCTGAACTCTCTGTGATGAATCTGTGTGTCCGTCTCATTGCTCTACACCTCGCCCGATTCTGATTTCCTAATGTACTTCGCCCATCATGGGGCCGGCAGATTAGTGAAGCTCTTATTTACATCTGGAGCCATGTCAGCATTCTGGCCTCCTCAGCGCTTGCTGTCGATGTTGATCTCATCTTTACTGGTTCACCACACTGACCACTGAGGAGACGGCCTTTCCTCCACCGCAATCAATCCCGTCTGTGTCTGGGACAGGAATGTGCATCACACAATCAGATTTCTGTTTTGAAGTAACAATGCATTACAAGTAATGTGCATTACATAATCAAATTACTTTTTTAATGTAGCAAGTAATGCATTACAAGTAACATGCATTACACAATCACATTGCTTTTTAATGTAACGAGTAAAGTAGCGCATTATAAGTAACGTGAATTACGTAATCAGATTACTTTTCATATAATGAGTAAAGTAACGGATTACATGTACTGTGTATTACATTATTAGATTACAGGTTTTCATGTAACTAGTAAAGTAACACTACAAGTAACGTGCATTACATAATCGGATTACTTTTCATGTAATGAGTAAAGCAACGCATTAACGATTTAAAAATTTACACATTACTATTTGTTTTGATTTTTGTTTACTTGTCAGTTTTATTAATTTGCGTAAAACGTTGCGTAGAGATAGACAAAAAGTAAAAAAGAAACAAAGAACATTACTTTCAATGAAAAAAAGGAGATCTTGTGGCAAACAGCAGCTCTAGGGCTCAGGAAATATTCTAAGTGCTCAGAATATAAACATCTTCTAAATGTGTTTTTAAAAGAAGGTTAAGGTGTATGTTAAATAGGTGATGTTGTTGAATGCATTACTGTTTACTAAAAAACTTGTCTTGGATGAAATCGAGACTCAGTCAAGAGACATAAAGTAATGCAAGAGTAACATAACACATTATAATCAGTAAAAAGTACTGCAATTAGTTACTTTTTAGGGAGAAACGCAATATATTTGTACAGTACCTTTGGCCTGCACTGGTCCGAGCCTGTGAGACGCTGGTTCCTCTGGAGCACAGAGGCCGTGCAGAATATGAATGTGTTCTTGCAAATGCTGCTCATCCACGCAGAAAATGCCTGCTTAGCATGTGCTGTCCTTGTTTATAAGCTGGAACCGTGAGCTCATTTCTAGAAAACAAAAGATTTCCTGCATAATTTTGCGTGACTCTGTTGGTTGCGATTGATGGTTTCCCGTGATGCACTCATAAGTCTCTGCTTTCTCTCCCTCAGTCATGTGGCAACATCTACAAAGGCCTGGCACAGACCGGAGCCTGGGGCTGTTTCGACGAGTTCAACCGGATCTCGGTGGAGGTGCTGTCTGTGGTGGCGGTGCAGGTGAGAGAGACACGGCAGATTTATACATCTATCAGCTCAGAAACCTTGAGACGGAGCCAGGGAAAGCCGTAAAGAAAGATATAATGCCCCAGAAACACACTGTGAGGGAATTCTGCCTTTATGATTCGCCACTCCATCTCAAAGTGCCCGGCATCTGGTGTTTGCCATTGAGATTTTATGCCTTGCAATTCAGTTTACGCAGGGAAGCTGAAGACAGTGTGTGCTGTAGCTGTAATGCATCGTCATCATTATGCTGGCAGACGTCACTTGCTCACAATGGCTATTATGAGGATGATGATTGATGATGGTCGTGATTATGAGTGTCGCTGCTCGTCTTTTAGACACGTTCAGTTCTGAAACAGTGCGACAGGTTTTAATGGGCAATTCCTGGAACTGCGCACTTTTTCTTTGAAAGTCAGAAAGACTCGTCTGAAATGTCAGGACACTGAAAGGTGTTTCTCCGTTGTAATAAAAAATGAATTAGCTTTCCCTTTGTAGTGTTTTCAGAGAGCATCTGTCACGAGGAACAGTTTACAGTGACTCAGAACATCAGAGTGATGATACGAGCCGCTTGTCAGGCCCTCTGCTGAGCAGCGAGCGGGAAGAGCCTGATGTTTAACGTTTCCATTTTCAGTAGGAGGATATTTCGCAGGAATGAAGTCCATCGAAATAGTGTTTTTCACAAGGACAGATAGAATCAATTATTCATTTGGTTAAGCTAAAACAAACAGAAGGAGCTCCAGACGTATCAATATTGAGAGGAATGAAGTGAGCTCTAGCGCTCGCCTCACTGCAGATCTCCATGGGCGGAGAAACAGATTTGCAGAGGAGTGTCCACAAGTACGAAGCACTTTGTTTTCATCTTTTCATTTATTATGAACAACGAGACTGTCGTTAACCTAGGCTATTCATGGAGTAGGGAACAGAAATGATCATTCTGTCTTCATTTACTCCAAACCTGTAGTGACGCACTTTCTTCTGTGGAACACAACATGAGGTGTTTAGCAGAATGTGTGAGCTGCTCTGCTCCACACAATGGCAGTCAATGGGGAAACGGCACACGAAATGCTTGGTGTGAGGAAAAGACTGAATGCACTGAAAGAGTTGGGCACCATTCACATTCACTGTGTGTGGAAAAGCAGCCTGGACTTGCTGGAAAATTTTCATATATTTAATTAGCAATGTGGCTTATATATAAAATATAGGCCTATATATATTAAATATATGAAAATTTAGCAGCATTTTCCTCTGCTGTTTCAGCGGCTCTTAATGCACGCCTGTGCTCGGCTTAGATGCTTTGCTATAGAACGATATGTAAAATTCATGAAGGTGCTATGTGCTGTGGGATTTGGAGTTCGTGTAAGGCCATGGCAAAGTAACGCCTCATATCTTATTCCATCAGCACTCGGCAATATGTGACTCATGCTTAATGTTATATGTCAGTGTTTATCTGCCTCCGGCTGAGCTCTCTCAGACGGTCTTCAGGGCTGAGGCGTCTGGATGTGTTGTGTTGTGCTGACACTAAACTGATCCACACACCCCGCTGGACTGGACATTCGCTGTGACGCGTTAATCCGATTAGATCGTTTTTGATTGTCGCTTCATTAAATATTCCATTAAAGCACAACCAAGCCTGTGTCCTGATATAGTGATTCATCTCTGGCCTGTAATTCCTCTCGTTCTCACAATGGCCAGTGGCAGATATGACTTTATAACAGACAATTCAATTTGATTATTTCATCCAGTGGCTTGAGCTCTGGCCGCCCTGCCGACAGCGCCGTAGGAAGATTCGTGGACGCTCCGACTCTGACGGAGATCGAATCCTTGCTCGTTATTTTACTTTATTTAAAGGGGCCGCAAAGCAAACAAGCACGTCGATCGTTATTGGTGCAGACTGACCATAGGGCATCAGTTAACCTCATGCAATCTTTTAAATGTGAAAGTAAGAAATCGATCGATGGAAAGAACTTAACAATTATAGTGACATGTTTGCTAACGAAATAAACCAATTAAAAGCCAAGCAATGCTCAATGCAAGTTTCTTTATAAATGTATTGCAAAATATTCAAACGTACAGAAATAAAAAGGTGTTTAAATGTGCAGACAAACTCGATTACATGGTTTGCAACGCTTCATTTCAGTAGCAGTTCCTCCATCGTAACATTGGCTTCTCCGGGTAGTGGATTATGGGAAGCGTCACTGTCGATTTAGCTGTTAAACACAGTTCAGTCAGTGAGATTTCATCTTCATTATGGCTTCTACAGATGTTCATCTCAGAGCTCATGGCAGATGTGACTAAAACCGTTTATTGTTGTTGAGAAAATGAATGTGATCTTACTTCTCTTGTGCTGTTTTGCACTCTTGTGATTTATTCTCACTTTCTCATTGGTTCTGAAGAGCAAGTAACACATATTCTGTGTCGTTTATATTGTGAACGTATGATCCATCAGGTCAAAAGTATTCAAGATGCCATTCGAGACAAGAAGAAGAGGTTTAACTTCATGGGCGAGGATGTAAACCTGGTCCCTTCGGTGGGCATCTTCATCACCATGAACCCCGGATACGCCGGCAGGACCGAGCTGCCCGAGAACCTCAAGGCTCTCTTCAGGTGCGTGTCATCAGGGGCCGTTTGCTCTTCACACATCAGCATCTGAGTCTAAGATAAGATAAGATGCTTATGAGGAGATCGCATGCCACCTGCACTCTTTTATGACAGAGATTTACAAGTTTAGATTAATTTTGACTGTCCATATCAAGTGATAAAGAGCTCTGTTTGCTCTGTAGAGTCAGCATTCATAAACACATTTTGATTTGGACAGCTATACTTTATTTGTAGCTGCAGACTCGATTCACATTCACACGCGATGTTCCAGGTCCTCCATCAGGCTGTTGTTCTTACCATCCTACAGGCCTTCAGGTGTTGATGGATGGAGCTTCTCTGATGGAGGCCTGAGGCGGGTTTGGTTTGTGGATCAGGTGGTGTCAGTCCCATGAGGACACCAGAAAGAGCCCGTTATTAAATAGATGAGAACTGAAACTGCATATTTCACATACTGTGTGATATTTTAAAATGAATGTTTTAGGCCTGTAATAAGCCACGTTGAAATTATTTTCCATAGTAGGCTACTTCGTAGCATACTTAAGAATATTAAAGGCCAAAACATAGTTATAGAGCGCATGTAACGGCGATCACTCATTTTCAGAGGCGTATTTTTCCCGTTTGTTTTCTCCATAGTGATTTATGAAGCTCTTATTTATAAACTTTTGTTAAAAATAATTTTAATGTTTCTGCACAAAAAACTAACATTTTGCTAACAACATGTGGAAAAATGTATATTTTCCATTCTGTCTGAAATGAACAGTTTTTAATGTGACTGATCCACAAAACCAAACCGGCTCCGGCATCACATCAGAGCGGTGTAACTGTAGGCTATAGTGTCCACGGGAATGCTAATGGAAACAGTCTTGTGCAGCAGTTTGAGAGCCTGATCTGCATGATGTATTTGCAGGTTCACAGTCACGATGTTGTTCTCTCTCTGTGTGTGTGTGTGTGTGTGTGTGTGTGTCCTGTAGGCCGTGTGCGATGGTGGTGCCAGACTTCGAGCTCATCTGTGAGATCATGTTGGTGGCAGAGGGTTTCATCGAGGCTCGACTTTTGGCCAGAAAATTCATCACTCTCTACCAGCTCTGCAAAGAGTTGCTCTCCAAACAGGTTGAGAAGTGTTTCTGCCGAATGCTCTTAAACGATCGCCCCACTGCCATTACACTGCTCTCAGAGATGTTAGACATCAAGGCCTTCAGCTTTTCTAGCGTTCTGACGAATGTTTACCTGTCATTGGGACTTTATTTGAATGCGATGTTATGAGACATCCAATTGTTCTCTAATAAAAATGGCGTCAATCCCACTATCATCGTTCTGTTACTCTATAAATAGTTTTGATACACACTGTGAAATATGTGAAAGCCTTTATTATTGCACGGCTTGGCCTGCGGATGCAGCTGATTGGACGCTCGTTGAGGCTCTTGTTTGTCCGTGTCTCCCTGTCGTCGCAGGATCACTATGACTGGGGTCTGCGGGCCATTAAGTCAGTGCTGGTGGTGGCCGGTTCCCTGAAGAGAGGAGATCCACGCAGACCCGAGGACCAGGTGCTGATGAGAGCCCTGAGAGACTTCAACGTCCCGAAGATCGTGACCGACGACATGCCGGTGTTCATGGGCCTCATCGGGGACCTCTTCCCGGCCCTCGACGTGCCCCGCAAGCGGGACCTGGACTTCGAGAAATTTGTCAAGCAGTCCGTGCTGGACCTCAAACTGCAGGCCGAGGACAACTTTGTGCTGAAGGTGAGGTCAGGTGACACTACCAGCTCAACTCGGTCAGGTCTGCTTTACTATAATCACCAGAGTTATCATAAACTAAAGCTAAACATAAGATTACTGGACAATCCGTATGGGGTTTTCAATAGCAGATTAACTATATCTAAAGAGCATTACATATGTAGATCCATATTTGGATTCCATATTCACTGTTTTGTGATAGAAGTGAAATCGTTTGGAAATGTATTGATTTGTGACAGAAAAACACATAAAAAATTCAATGCCGTGGCAATTTTTGGTAAGGCGCCTAAACAAAACCTCAATTTTTGACATATTAACTTTGAATTTGAAACAGAACTTGGCTTTTTAGACTCCACATAGTTTTGTAAAATATATATTTCGTATAAAATAAAATAAATGTGCACAGTGCATTTGCTTTACAGTAAATATATGTATATACAGTATATACACACACATTGAGCTGTAAACAAGCTTGCTGAAATGGAAAGAAAACCCGATGCCGATAATCTCAAAATGATGATTGGTTTGATGAGTGATTGATTTAATACTACATAAGATTATTATAAACGGGTCGTTCCGATCCTCCAGTTTGTTTCGGCCAAGTGGTGTTTAAGAGTTGTGAGGTGTTTTGATTGTGTGTTTGTGTGGTTTCTGTCCCCGTCGAGGAGCGAGAAGCAGAAGTCGAGCTGAACACTTTGAGTGACGATGGGAAATTGCTGTCGTTTCATTCCGCTCACATTCTCTGTCCCAGACAGCCTGTCAGCGCGTGTCGTTTGGCGTGTAAGGCTCGATGCTGTGGCCCGTTTAAACTAGTATTGTTTGTGGGGGGAAAATTTGAAAGTCCTGATCAATGCCGCTCTCGCATTTTTCTCAACTTCACCTCTTCTCCGGTTGCATTATCTTCCTTTTAGAGCCATAAACCCGCTGTTGTGTTTCAAGCAAATAGACATTAGTGTCAAAGCAGTCTGCAAGTGGATGTATTGGACAAATCAAAGATAGCAGGAATTACAGTGTAATGGAGCCTCAGGTGCCGGAGCGCAGCTCTAATGTGGAGCATTAGGACGAGGTCGAGATATCAGCCCGAGCCAGGGGAAATAAGTGCAATCTCACACGGGTCAAAGAGCCACAGAAACAACACCTCAGCTGTCCATCAGCCCTGTACGCCGCGTTTAACCCCCGCCACACGCCTGTGAACCGTGAGCCGTGTCTCCGGGAGGGGAAGAGCTCCAGTCTGCCATTAGCCGTCGCCCCGAAACACATCAGATCAAAGCATCAATCAGCAAACCCTCCAGCGCTGAGGAGCCCGACGGGGACCCGCATCAATGCCACTGATTGAACATGCCATCAGTTCCAAGAGGAAAATCTCTGGCTTTTGCTCCACATCTCGCTCTTCTCTCAGAGGGGAGCCGATCTGTGTTTAAGTGTGTATCTTCTGCTAGTGCTCCACAAACACACACCTAACTGTGAGGCCAGGCTTGCGGAGGTTCAGCCGGCTCACACTGATAATATGTCAACCGTATTTTCTCGATTTTTAAGTCGCATTGTTTTCATCACCTGAAATGTGCGGCGTCTTATATAATGCAATTATATATTTTGTGATCACAGAGGCTATATACATTTCCGGCTATATTTGCCATGTTTAAGCAGACTTTTTAACTCTTTCTTTTGATATAGCGCATGTTCAGATATTAAAAAAATGCATATATAACAAATAAAACTAAATATTCTGTGGGCCATGAAACATTGGATAAAATTTTAAAATTGACTTTTTTTTTTTTTTTTTTGGCGTAATAAATGGCATCCATTATTTGACCTTAATTATATGTTAGAGCACAATACAAAAAAAATGTAAAATATTTAATTTATTTGTATAAAATATCACTGACCAAACTGAAATGCCACAGTTTCCAGTGAGTAATAAGCTCCTCAGAGCGGATCTGTGCCGCGGAGCTGCGAGGGTTTGGGCTTTAAAGGACAGTTCTGCAGTTCTAGACTTCAGGAGAGGAAACAGAGAAGTGTTCTGCATATTAATAAAGCAATAACTAACGCTCCCACTGGAGCTCAGAGCGTTGGATGAGGACTCGGTCCTGGAGCTCAACTCAACACTAGTTCAGTTCAGTTCTGCTGCTGTTACTCAGCGCTGGGGAAATAACTTTTTGTTGTTTTTGTTTTGAAATGTTTGGCATGAAGTCACACTGGTGCTGAAAATCTCTTGATATTTACTGAGGATGGATTCAGCCAGCCAAGCTAGTTTGTCTCTCGTGTGTGCGGTCTATAGCACAAAACATCAAGCAAAGCAACGTTGTGTGTGTGTGTGTGTGTGATATTTGCCTCTGCTGTTGTTCTTCTCAGGTGGTTCAGCTGGAGGAGCTGCTGGCCGTTCGTCACTCCGTGTTCGTGGTGGGAAACGCCGGCACCGGGAAATCCCAGGTCCTCAAATCTCTCCACAAGACGTATCAGAACATGAAGCGCAGGGCGGTCTGGGCCGATCTCAACCCTAAAGCGGTGACCAACGACGAGCTGTTCGGCATCATCAACCCGTCCACGCGCGAGTGGAAGGACGGTGAGTGGCTGTGTTTCCCAGCGCTTCATCACGGGGAGTGTGAGACTCAACACGTGTGCTTTCCCCCGCAGGCCTGTTCTCTAATATCATGCGTGAGCTGGCCAACATCAGTCACGCCGGGCCCAAGTGGATAGTCCTGGACGGGGATATCGACCCGATGTGGATTGAGTCGCTGAACACAGTAATGGATGATAACAAGGTAGAGCCGAGACGGCCAGAACGCATTCAGATATCTGTGTTAGGATGAGCCTGACCCTCAGATGCCCTGTGTGTGCTGTAGGTGCTGACGCTGGCCAGTAATGAGCGGATCCCTCTGAACCCCACCATGAGGCTTGTGTTTGAGATCAGTCATCTACGCACAGCCACGCCAGCCACCGTGTCCAGAGCCGGTCAGAGCAGCAGCTTATCCTCCTCACAGAAACTGCCTTATTATCCTCCTCACAGACCGCCCAATACACATATCAATATCAGCTGGAAATCTCAAATAAAGGAAAATTAGGACTGTTGCCTTGGCAAAAAAACTGAAAAGGTTTAGTTGAAGCACTAAAGTTATTAACTGGAATTAAGTAAAAATGAACTAAAACTGAAATAAAATAAAAATTAACACGAAACTAAAAATGAAAAAATAAAAGTTACAATATTAAATATTAATAATAAAACTTAAATAACACTGTATATATATATATATTTAATTAAATAACACAGATTATATATTTATGTGTGTATCCTAACGGCTTATTCCTATAAATTGGCGCAGTAATTGTGTACCAAATATAAGAAATGGTAACAGATATGTCAATGGGAAATAATCTATATTTTAAGGGATAAACATGAGATTTTAATGGAGTTTGGGGACCTTTCAGACTGTTGTTAATCATGCTAACAGAAGACTAATACAGAGCTGTTGCTGAATATTATAGTCCCTGTTCTTTAATGCAAAGACATGTGTGCCAATGTAGAAGAAGTGTACAGCGGCTCCGCTGAGATCATAATACATAATTGATGATAATAAAGTGTTATCAATTATTATCAGCCAATAGCTATCTTTGTTTTGCTGTTTTTTGACCAAACGTGTCATTGCTGTTTGATGAAGTCAGTGTTGCATCCGTCATACGGAACATTAGAATCAAATTTCACACACTGATTCACCGAGGATTTGATTCGTCTACAAAGTAATATAAGAATATTTATTTACATTTATTATAATTAAACAAATATAGTTTATATATTCCATTTATTATATTTTAATATTTTATCGAGATTTAATGAAAAAATAAATGTAGTTGTTTGTTTAGTTGTTTGTGTGTTTGTGGTGTGTCCACTGACGCAGATGTGTGTGTGTGTGTGTGTGTGTGTGTGTGTGTGACCTCTCCTCCACACAGGTATCCTGTACATCAACCCTGCAGATCTGGGCTGGAACCCGCCGGTGTCGAGCTGGATCGACCGCAGAGAAGTGCAGTCCGAGAAGGCAAACCTCACCATCCTGTTCGACAAGTACCTCCCATCATGCCTCGACACGCTCCGGTCAAGGTGCGATCGCATCCGTCACGCGCTTCAGCCTCGTTAATATTCACCGGCTGCCATTACTGATTCAGCAGCATCAGCACGACCTGATTAATATTCATGAGCTAAACTTCTTATGTGCTCCATGTACCTTTACCTGTGTTACTTTAGTGACTGTTAGAGGTTTTATTAGTTATCAATAGTTTTAAAGTCTTTTTTTTTTCATTTGTATTAATTTTTGTTGTTTTGTCTATACAGTGTTTTTATTTTTATTGTAGTGCATCAAGTTAAACTAAATGAAAATGAAAAGTGTTGCCTTGGCAACTAGCTTTAGTTTAAGGTTTTTGTTTTATTCCAGTAGTAAAAATGTTCCTTTTTAATGGCTTTAGTTTTAGCAACTATAATACCTTTACCCATCAGCACAGATCAAACACTGGAATGTGTGGAAGCGGCTCGTGTGTGTTCACTTATAGCGTGAGGCCGAACCTGTGCTGCTGAGATGTGTGTGTTCTGATGACTGAGCTGCTGTGTGTCCTGTTCCCAGGTTTAAGAAGATCATCCCCATCCCTGAGCAGAGTTTGGTGCAGATGCTGTGCTTCCTCCTGGAGTGTCTCCTCGTCCCAGAACACACTCCTCCTGACAGCCATAAGGATCTGTACGAGCTCTACTTCGTGTTCGCCGCCGTCTGGGCCTTCGGAGGAACCATGTTCCAGGATCAGGTGTGTGTGTGTGTGTGTGTGTGTGTGTGTGTGTGTGTGTGTGTGTGTGTGTGTGTGTTTCGGAGGAACCATGTTCCAGGCTCAGGTGTGTGTGTGTGTGTGTGTGTATGTGTGTGTGTGTGTGTGTGTGTGTGTGTTTCGGAGGAACCATGTTCCAGGCTCAGGTGTGTGTGTGTGTGTGTGTGTATGTGTGTGTGTGTGTGTGTGTGTGTGTGTGTGTATGTGTGTGTGTGTGTGTGTGTGTGTGTGTGTTTTGGAGGAACCATGTTCCAGGCTCAGGTGTGTCTCCACTGGCTTTACTCTCATGCACACTGCCTGCTTTAACACTGTGTGTGTCTGTGTCTGTGTGTGTGTGTGTGTGTGTGTCACTGCAGCTCGTGGATTACAGGCTGGAGTTCAGCAAGTGGTGGGTGACGGAGTTCAAAAGCGTGAAGTTTCCGGCTCAAGGCACCGTGTTCGATTACTACATTGATCCCGAGAGCAAAAAATTTGAGCCATGGTCAAAAATGGTTCCGAAGTTTGTGATGGATCCGGAAATACCTCTGCAAGTCAGTACCAGCTTTACCTCTGTTTACAGTCACGAAGAGCTGATTCACTCTGGCGAGAGCGTACGGTCATTCACGTACTATTGTAGTGGCTTTTATGATTGTTTTGAATTAGATTTCATTTACATTTTGAACTTTAGTTAAAGTCTTAGTAATTTTGTTGTTGAAGTTTGACGTTTCTTTACTTTTCTGCTTAGCAATACTATGAGTGAGCATGCAGAAAGTTGATCAAAGTTTAAAAATGAGCCTTTTTAAAATATGGCTGTATAGTTTTTATACATTTTATTTTAGTTTTAGTTATTTTAGTATTGATATTATTGATATTGGCCTTGTCTGAAAGTCTGAAATTACTTTGAAAAACTTGAAATATGAAGATTTTCACTACTTTAACTCAATAAAATGTTATTAACATGTTCTAGCGCATTGCTTTCGACCCCATAACAGTCTGTGGGACGTTTCGTAGTTTTGATCGTCCGGTTTAGCAGAACCGTAAGTCAGAAGAGTTAGACTAGACGTGGCGACCCGAGTCAGAGCAGTCTGAAGGTCTGAGAGATAAACATATTGACAGATGACTGTACTATACAACAACCGCTGTCTGAAAGATCCTCAGGGAGCGTCAGTTCACACACGCAGGCTCGACTGAACGCTGTGTGTGTGTGTGTGTGTGTGTGTGTTTCCCGTGTCTCAGGCCTGCCTCGTCCACACCACCGAGACCATCCGCGTGCGCTACTTCATGGACCGGCTGCTGGAGCGGCGGCGTCCCATCATGCTCGTGGGCAACGCTGGCACCGGGAAGTCGGTTCTGGTGGGAGACAAGCTGGGCTCTCTGGACCCGGAGAAATACGCCATCAAAAACGTCCCGTTCAACTACTACACCACCTCAGCCATGTTACAGGGTACGTGTGTGTGTGTGTGTCTTTCCCTGCTCACAGCTGAGAGTAGCAGTGCTTCATGAGTAAACACTCATGGCTCTTTGCTCCGGGCGTCAGCTGTTTTGTGTCCCTGTCTTTGCAATCTGTGATGTTCACACACTTGCTCCTGTCAAGCCAGACCAAACTACATTCAGAATCACACGCTTATTTTCTCAATAACTTTGCTTTGGTATCAGGCACAATCAATGAATGGGGTTCAGTGTAGGCCCGGAAATGTTAGAAATTATTATAATTATTAATATTCAGGAGCTTCATCAGAAATGAAATGAGATTTTTTTTTTCTATTTATTTTATATTATAGTTTGTGATTTTTGATGTTTAAATGCAGTTTAAATCATGATTTTATGATTTTTGTTATTTTCTAGCAAGCACCAAATAAACATCAAAAGTTTTCTTTTAATTTTTAGTTTATTTAGTGATTGCTAGAAAATAGCAAAACGTACAGAAATATATTATATAAAATTTAAATCTTAATGGATAACTAACTTGGTTGAGAGTCACAAGTTAGTCCACATATTTATTTTAGATTTTTTTACAATAACTTGAGTAACATGATGAGTACAGTTTGTGTAAATGATTTCTTCTGATCATGCTGATCCAAAATATGATGCTTCTTGGGCGCCACAATTAAGAAATGCAATGTTTTTAATATTATAAAAATGAATATATTCATCAATTCATAACATAAAAATTCATTCAAACTTTTACACACTGAACTGAATATCATTTCAACAGATTATGAGAACAATGGCAGGTCAAAAGCACCATTTTAAAGGTTTGATAGACATTATATGGATTTTAAGCTCTGTTAATTTTGTTAGATAATAGTTTATAAAACATATCTAATAGACAGCAAAGAGAAATCCTTTTCATGCACTGTAGTTTCCTCGTGTGTTCAGTGTTAGCCAGTGCTGTTCTCACGAAGCCTGTTCCCCACAGCGGTCCTGGAGAAGCCCTTAGAGAAGAAGGCGGGCCGCAACTACGGGCCGCCCGGCAGCAAGAGGCTCGTCTACTTCATCGATGACATGAACATGCCGGAGGTGGACGAGTACGGCACGGTCCAGCCGCACACCATGATCCGCCAGCACATGGACTACAACCACTGGTACTGACCCTCACATGACCATCTTCATCTTTCCTCAGTGTGTGTGATGTTGCTGTCTGATCATGAAGAAGCTCCAGTTCTTCTCTATATCAGAGTCAGTGTTTCTGAACTCCTGAAACGCCTCCATTGTAGTCTTGAGTCCCCCCCTGGAACGAACACGTCACAATATTCCTCATAATAATTAATGCACAGAATAAAGGGGCGGGGCCTGGTTGAGTTAGTTAGTAGTGTGTTAAACTGGAGGTTATGGAAAGGGGCGGGGCATTTCCCAAACACACTCGAAGCGCTCGACCAATCGCAACACACTGCTCCAGCCGACCAATCAGAGCACAGTGTGCTTTTCAGGAGGAGGGGCTTCATAGAGACAGGAAGTAAACAGAGCGTTACTGACAGACTGGGAAGAGAGGAGCCGCAACAATGGAGAATATGAGGAAAATAATCAACATTCAAGCAGGAAAACCTGTTCTAGTAGAGTAGAAAACAACATCAAGACTGCAGAATATGTCCTCTTTAAAGTGTAGTTTCTGTTCTGATTCCATGATATGCTCAAGCTGATCCTCATGGCCATTTCACACCGTAGACATGCCCATCATGATTGTGTCACTTTGCTACGTTTGCTCAGGTGGACAATTTATGGATAATGGATTTTGTTTTATGTTATTATGATGGTCCAGTGCTCAAGGCCTGAAGAGGCTCTGTCTGTTCTGTCGGGATGTCAGTGTTCTGTCCTGAAAGAGAGCATGTGTCCTGTTGGTTTCTCAGTATCTCTGCCGTGTCTGTTAGATCGGGGTGAGCAGGAGAACAGCTGAAGACGCTGTATTTCTCTGAGCCGCAGTGGCTTTAGTGCAGGACGAGGTGTGCATACAGAGCGTGTGTGTGTGGGAGTGTGTGTCTGACGGAACGCTGTGTCCTCAGGTACGACAGGAGCAAGCTGCAGCTGAAGGAGATCCACAATGTGCAGTACGTGTCCTGCATGAACCCCACCGCCGGCAGCTTCACCATCAACCCTCGCCTGCAGGTGCTCACTATCAGTGTCAGCTCCACACACACACACACACATACATGCATATAGACATACATATCAGTGTCAGCTCCACACACCGAGTACTGCTTACTGTCACTGCATACATACAGTCATAGATACAGTCATACATGCATACAGTCATACATACAGTCATAGATACAGTCATACAGTCATACGTCATGCATGCGGTCATACATACAGTCATACATACAGTCATACAGTCATACATACAGTCATACAGTCATAGATACAGTCATACAGTCATATATACAGTCATACAGTCATACATACAGTCATACAGTCATAGATACAGTCATACAGTCATATATACAGTCATACAGTCATGCATGCGGTCATACATACAGTCATACATACAGTCATACAGTCATACATACAGTCATACAGTCATAGATACAGTCATACAGTCATATATACAGTCATACAGTCATACATACAGTCATACAGTCATAGATACAGTCATACAGTCATATATACAGTCATACAGTCATGCATGCGGTCATACATACAGTCATACAGTCATACATACAGTCATACATACAGTCATACAGTCATACGTCATGCATGCGGTCATACATACAGTCATAGATACAGTCATACATACAGTCATACAGTCATACATACAGTCATACATGCAGTCATACAGTCATACATACAGTCATACAGTCATACATACAGTCATACAGTCATACATACAGTCATACATGCAGTCATACAGTCATACATACAGTCATACATACAGTCATACAGTCATACATACAGTCATACAGTCATACATACAGTCATACATGCAGTCATAGATACAGTCATACAGTCATACATACAGTCATACAGTCATACAGTCATACATACAGTCATACATACAGTCATACATGCAGTCATACAGTCATACATACAGTCATACATACAGTCATACATACAGTCATACAGTCATGCATGCTGTCATACATACAGTCATAGATACAGTCATACATACAGTCATACAGTCATACATACAGTCATACATGCAGTCATACAGTCATACATACAGTCATACAGTCATACATACAGTCATACATGCAGTCATACATGCAGTCATACAGTCATACATACAGTCATACATGCAGTCATAGATACAGTCATACAGTCATAGATACAGTCATACATACAGTCATACAGTCATACATACAGTCATACAGTCATACATACAGTCATACATGCAGTCATACATACAGTCATACATGCAGTCATAGATACAGTCATACAGTCATAGATACAGTCATACATACAGTCATACAGTCATACATAGTCATACATGCAGTCATACAGTCATACATACAGTCATACATGCAGTCATAGATACAGTCATACAGTCATAGATACAGTCATACATACAGTCATACAGTCATACATGCATACATACAGTCATACAGTCATAGATACAGTCATACATACAGTCATAGATACAGTCATACATACAGTCATAGATACAGTCATACATGCAGTCATACAGTCATACATACAGTCATACATGCAGTCATAGATACAGTCATACAGTCATAGATACAGTCATACATACAGTCATACAGTCATACATGCATACATACAGTCATACAGTCATAGATACAGTCATAGATACAGTCATAGATACAGTCATAGATACAGTCATACATACAGTCATACATACAGTCATACATACAGTCATAGATACAGTCATACATACAGTCATACATGCATACGGTCATACATACAGTCATACATGCATACATACAGTCATACAGTCATACATGCATACATACAGTCATACATGCAGTCATACATGCAGTCATACAGTCATACATACAGTCATACATGCAGTCATAGATACAGTCATACAGTCATAGATACAGTCATACATACAGGCATACAGTCATACATACAGTCATACATGCATACATACAGTCATACAGTCATACATACAGTCATACATGCAGTCATAGATACAGTCATACAGTCATAGATACAGTCATACATACAGTCATACAGTCATACATGCATACATACAGTCATACAGTCATAGATACAGTCATACATACAGTCATAGATACAGTCATACATACAGTCATAGATACAGTCATACAGTCATACATACAGTCATACATGCAGTCATAGATACAGTCATACAGTCATAGATACAGTCATACATACAGTCATACATGCATACATACAGTCATACAGTCATAGATACAGTCATACATACAGTCATAGATACAGTCATACATACAGTCATACATGCATACGGTCATACATACAGTCATACATGCATACATACAGTCATACATGCATACATACAGTCATACATGCATACATACAGTCATAGATACAGTCATAGATATTCATACAGTCATAGATACAGTCATAGATACAGTCATACATACAGTCATACAGTCATACATACAGTCATACATGCATACGGTCATACATACAGTCATACATGCATACATGCATACATACAGTCATACAGTCATACATGCATACATACAGTCATACATGCATACGGTCATACATGCATACATACAGTCATACATGCATACATACAGTCATACAGTCATACATGCATACATACAGTCATACAGTCATAGATACAGTCATACATACAGTCATAGATACAGTCATAGATATTCATACAGTCATAGATACAGTCATGCATGCATACAGACATATACTACCAGTCAAAAGTTTTGGATCGGTAAGATTTTTAATGTTTTTAAACGAAGTCTCTTCTGCTCACCAAGGCTGCATTTATTTAAAAATATTAGAATCTTACCGATCCAAAATTTTTGATTGGTAGTGTATATATAAATTATTTTGAAACTGTTTCATATAGTGTCTCAAAGCTGAAGCAAAGGCTTAATGTGCAACTGTTGCCGTGTATCTCAGAGGCATTTCTCTGTGTTTGCGCTGTCGTTCCCTGGAGTGGAGGCGCTGAACACCATCTACTGCAGCATCCTGAACCAGCACCTGAGCGGAGAGGGCTTCGCCTCGGCCCTGCAGAAGAGCAGCTCTCAGCTGGTCACGCTGGCACTCGCCTTCCACCAGCGCATCACCGCCAGCTTCCTGCCCACCGCCATCAAGTTCCACTACATCTTCAACCTCCGCGACCTCTCCAACATATTCCAGGTACTCGCACAACAACCTGCTATCCCAGCAGCCCCTCGCAGCCGCTCTCCGAATGCCAGCAACGGCTCGCGCTCTCTTTATAACGGGTGAACCTTCATGATCTTTCCTATGTGTAATATTACATTTATATGACTGCCTCATAAGTCATGAGCTCTGAAAACAGTGCGAGTAATTCCAGTCTCAAATGACTAATGATTGACAGGCAAAGCTGGTGGTTTGAGATGAGCTGTAGATTATTGATGAACTGAAATAATAATAGTGCTTCAGATGTGACTCTGTCAGAGCCCACCGATCAGCTTCTGATGAGTTTCTCTTTGCAGGCGAAATGAATAATTAACTAATCCATGGCATCTTTTCATGTGCACATCCTGACAGATGCAGGCAAAGCCATTTCATCCATTAGTTAAAAGTAATTTCAGGTTTTCTGCGTGTGTCCGTTCTCACGCATATCCACCTTTGAACTGCGGCTCTCCTGTCCCAGCTCGTGTTATTGTGCCGGATTAGACAAACGCTCTTTGGGTTTCATTGTTTTAAAACGGCTTTACTGGGCCCGTTTCCTCGGTTTAGTGCTGATGAAAGTGGAGAGAGCGTAGCCTGTGAACCTCTGCTCAGTGTTTGGGGAACAGTCGCAGTAATGAAGCGGAATGAGACGCAGCTGAAGGAACATTTGAAGATCGGCCCTTAGTTCTGCCTTACTAACTCAGCTCACAGTCCAGAGCCTCAAAGCACACGCGCCCAGCCTCCTCTTGTTTATCTGTGCTGGAGACGTGTGTGTGAGTGTGTGATCGCTCCGCTGTTCCTCCGACCGCTTTAATTAGTTGGTGATACGCAGGATTGAATGTCTCGTGTTGCACCGAGAGGAACCCAAAGGCCCAATCCGATCCCTTTTGTTTATGTGAACGGTTTAAAGATATTAAAAGGCAGCTTATTCGCCCCAAAGCCAAGAAAAGTTCCATTTTTAATAAAGTTCAGACTGTTCAGATGCTGCCGGTAGCTACTGTACTTCAACACGGTGAGTGACGTGAAGTCATTAGTTTACAGCCGTGTGTGAGAGAAGGCTAAGATAATGAGGCTCCGCTGAGGACGTGTGTGTGTGTGTGTGTGTGTGTCGGCGCTGGGCACTCCGAGAGACGTGTGTGTGTGAGACGTGTGTGTGTGTGTGTGTGTTCACATCTCGACTGCAGTGAAGCTGGACTTATGGAGCACTTGCAGTTTGATATTATATAGAGTTTAATTAAGATTTTATGTATAAAGTATATATAATTAGGTTTTTTATTTTGGACATCAACGACAGCCTCTGGGTCACTTCTGCGTGACCTGTAGAACAAAGGACATGATGACATTTAATATAATCTAAGATGAGGCCTGTTTAGGTGGCTGAAATCCTTCTTAGTCACTTTCAGAGCATTGTGGAATATTAGACGAACCATATATACTTCTTTCCCAAACGCATCAATGGTCAAACAATTCAGTGTTTTTGTGCATCTCTCTCAGTTGATATCTCAATGTTTTGCCTTTGTTTTATTGCAATTTTAGAAAATCTTGTGCAGTATTTTGAGATTTGAAATGCTGGAGAAGCAACGCTAACCCTTGTGTTTCTCTGCAGGGAATCCTGTTCTGCACCGGCGAGTGTGTGCGCACCCCCCAGGACCTCTTGAAGATCTACCTGCACGAGTCCAACCGGGTCTACCGAGACAAGATGGTGGACGACAGAGACTTCGCCCTCTTTGACAAACTGCAGTCAGACACGGTGAAGAAGTTCTACCAGGTGAGAGAGATCCAGTGCTAATCAGAGCTAAACCCTGTCAGGCCTCCCTCCTCCTGGGGATCATGAGCGAGGAGAGAAATAGCTTTCCATCTACTCATCTGACATGCGCACGCTCACTCCTGCAGAACAACGGACAAACACACAGTTCATGTTGGTTTAAGAGGAACATCAATTGTCATTTGGTTGAACTTGAGCTCCTTCCCAAGGCAGCAGCACTGAACGTTAGTTAATATTTCATGGAGTTTTAAGGCTGTTTTTATTCCCACTAGGACATGGAGGAGACTCTGGTGGAGGCCACGGCCATGAACATGTTCTGCCACTTCGCCACGGGCATCGGGGAACCCAAATACATGCCGGTGCAGTCCTGGGGGAGCCTGAACAAAACCCTGCTGGAAGCGCTCGACGGCTACAACGAGGTCAACGCGGCTCTGAACCTGGTTCTGTTCGAGGACGCCATGGCTCATATGTAAGACGTCACTGCTGATCTGGACAGGACTCTAGACTTTAGATTGTGCAGCTTTCACCACACAGAGCTAGCCGGCTTCTCTGAAACCTTGTGTTGTGCTGCTTTTAAACGCTTTAAACGCCACTAGGGTTTTATAGACGCGAGTCATGTTTACTGTAGTCCAACATTTTTAAAAGCACATTCATTTTATTTTCACTTATTCCTGTTGAAAACTAGGAAGTCAATATAATAAGTTAATCATGATTAATCTAATAATTTCAGTATTTAGAAAGCAAAATTAAGTTGTTTTAATTACAAATAAGTATAAGTCCCTTAAAACTAGTTAATTGCCTAGCAACTCATTGATTTGAAGATATGCACATGTTTTGCACATCCCTAGTTGTGACAGAGCAAATCATTGGTCGATATTTGACTTTTGCCCTTTCCAAACTCTACTGACAGCATTATCAGGTTAATAGGCATGCGAATATGCTTTCAGATCTGTTCAGTGAGTGGCGCAAAATAAGAGTTTATTGAATTGCACCGTCACGTACCATTCTGTATAATGAACACAGGCCATTGAGGAAGCTGTACTCCTCAGTTATCTAGGCATGACTCCTCATGTTCTCTCCTGCTCAGCTGCCGGATCAATCGGATCCTGGAGTCTCCTCGGGGGAACGCTCTGCTGGTGGGAGTGGGCGGCAGTGGGAAGCAGAGCCTGACGAGACTGGCGGCCTTCATCAGCTCCCTCGAGGTCTTCCAGATCACGCTGAAGAAGGGATACGGCATCCCTGATCTAAAGGTTCATTAGCCTGGCACAAAACAATTGCTCTAAATCACACTCACTGCGACTGCTTGCTATTGGCCGATCAAATATTCATTGTGATGCTCCTCGCCGGAGTGGAAATCGTCTCGGTGCAACTCCACACAAAAGTCTGAGAAATAATGGAATAATTATCAGGGACACAGAGGAGCTCTTGAACACAATATGATATTGCACATTATTGTGTGTGTAGCTCATCAGCTTTCATGCCTGTAATATGTTTCACTTCTACTGTTCTGCTGGGACTTCTCCAGGGTAGCGGAGCCGGCGGCGTGTGACTGTTGTTGTGTGTGTTCTCAGAGCGATTTGGGGGCGTTATACGTTAAAGCTGGCGTGAAGAATATTGGCATGGTGCTCCTCATGACAGACGCCCAGGTCGCAGATGAGAAGTTCCTAGTGTTGGTGAACGACCTTTTAGCATCTGGTAAGCCTGTGTGTTTGCGTGTGTGTGTGTGTGTGTGTACTCTGCCAGATGATATTCATGAGGGGATATTCTTATGTGTGTTTGTGATGATATTACTGGCAGTGTATAAACAAAGATTTTAATGTGCCTTTTATTTTCCCCATTATGTTTCTTGTGTGATTAGACGGATTGCTCCATCATTATTTCCGCTGCTCACGAGAGCGCTAAGAGATTGATTTAAACTTCAGTAGCTTTTTGATTGATTTCTGTGAATCATTTGGAAATGTTTCAAGAAATCGATTTAATGAGTAGTTTAAATCATCACTCAAATGTTGATGTGCTGCAATAGCTTTTCCATATGTTAATAAAGATATTTACATAACATTTTAATAATAATAATTATTTACAACAACAAACAATAATAATAACAGTATTACAATTATAATGATTATTAAAATGCTTTTTACTTCTAATATGCATTTATTTTGGCTACCAATTATGTAGGTAGTTATTGTTCATACAGTGTAAAACATGGCATAATTATTTGTAAATATAGATTTTTACTGTACTTGCTTTTACATTTTCAATCTTCTTGTCCACAGTGAATGATTGGTTAAAAAGGATTGATCTGATTGAAATGAATCGCCCATTTAAGTCATTTCACTGTATCAAGATATGAGTGTTTAATTAACATTTCTCAGGCCTAAAGTATTATCATTTTTCAGAGAGCTGTATTATTGTCCTGTCCTGGCCAGTTTCTAATGTTTGCATCTGTCAGAGACTGATATCAGCTCCTTGTCTCCATCACAGGTGAAATCCCTGACCTGTTCCCTGACGACGAGGTGGAGAACATCATCTCTTCTTTAAGGAATGAAGTGCGTGGTCAGGGTCTGATGGACACCAGGGAAAACTGCTGGAAGTTCTTCATCGACCGCGTCCGTAGGCAACTCAAAGTGCGTGAGCAGGAGTGATTCATGAAGCCTCGCAGGGCTGCCTTTGTTCTCCCACAGTCTCTGTAAATGAGTTTCCAGCTCTCGCAATGTAACTAGATAAACATGAACAGCCTGACGTCTCTGGGGAGGCTGTCCGAGGGCTGATTCTGTGCGGATATGGTGTTTGTTGATGTGTGTAAATGTGTGGATGGTTTTCCTGCTTGAATGTTGATTATTCTCCTCATATTCTCCATTGTTGCGGCTCCTCTCTTCCCAGTCTGTCAGTAACACTCTGTTTACTTCCTGTCTCTGTATGAAGCCCCTCCTCCTGAAAAGCACACTGTGCTCTGATTGGTCAATTGTGTTTGTGAAATGTCCCGCCTCTGACCCCTTCAGTGTGTGTGGTGTGTGTTCAGCAGTGGTTCACTCACACATGTGTCCTGCAGGTGGCGCTGTGCTTCTCTCCGGTGGGAAGTAACTCCTCCAGTGTGTGTGTGTGTGTGTGTGTGTGTTCAGCAGTGGTTCACTCACACATGTGTCCTGCAGGTGGCGCTGTGCTTCTCTCCGGTGGGAAGTAAACTCCTCCAGTGTGTGTGTGTGTGTGTGTGTGTGTGTTCAGCAGTGGTTCACTCACACATGTGTCCTGCAGGTGGCGCTGTGCTTCTCTCCGGTGGGAAGTAAACTCCTCCAGTGTGTGTGTGTGTTCAGCAGTGGTTCACTCACACATGTGTCCTGCAGGTGGCGCTGTGCTTCTCTCCGGTGGGAAGTAACTCATCCAGTGTGTGTGTTTGTGTGTGTGTGTGTGTGTTCAGCAGTGGTTCACTCACACATGTGTCCTGCAGGTGGCGCTGTGCTTCTCTCCGGTGGGAAGTAAACTCCGCGTGCGCAGCAGAAAGTTCCCCGCGGTCGTGAACTGCACCGCCATCGACTGGTTCCACGAGTGGCCACAGGAGGCGCTGGAGTCCGTCAGTCTGCGCTTCCTGCAGGACGTGGAGCACATCCAGGTGACACACACACACACACACACACACATCTTCATCAACAGGTCTGATCACGATTCCCTCAATCCAAAGCCCTGAGATGCCATTAACAGACGGAGCTCAGCTCCTCTTACAGATTCAGGTGCAAATGCCTGAAGTCATGAAGAACATAATTAGATTGGCTAGCGTTCGCACAGTCTCTTTCTGCATTATATTTCAGGGAAATGAAACGGCTGTGACGGCCCAGTAGCATGACATTTCTGCCAATATGCTGGTAATTATATTTCCTTGTTAATTCTTCCACCCGTGTAGCCCGAGGTGAAGGACTCTGTGAGTAAGTTCATGGCTTACGTACACGTGAGCGTGAACAAGACGTCGAAGGACTACCTGTCGAACGAGCGGCGCTACAACTACACCACGCCGAAGTCGTTCCTGGAGCAGATCAAGCTGTACGGGAACCTGCTCGCGCTCAAGAGGAGAGACCTCACGTCCAAGATGGAGCGGCTGGAGAACGGCCTGGAGAAGCTCAACAGCACCACAGCGCAGGTGATCTCAATCAGGTCCTCCTGGCTTACAAACCTTCCTGGCGATGACATCACGGTTTTCTCCAGAGCGGCCATATATATAAATGAACTAAAGTTGTTTACAACAGAAATGAAGCATCACTGAACTCACTCAAGCTGGACTGAGACACTCTTCTCTTCTGGAAACTGTGTTGCGTTATTCTCCTGTTATCTCTGTAACGCTGCTCTGAAACACTCTGTGCTGTAGAAATAAAGCTCGACTTGCTGGATAAACGACCAGAGAAATATCTGATGACTGATGAGCATTTCCTTTAGCTCTTCTGTTCTTAACTATTTTAGTGTGCTGTTTTACACAGTAAGTCGAGTCTCCTTCCTTTATACAGCGCTTTAACATTATAGATCATTTCACAGCAGCTTTACAGTGATAACAGGAGATTACAGTAACAGAGTGTTTAGGCTTTACAGCAGCTCTAGAATAAAGTTATTGTCCAGATAAAGTTAGTTTTGATTGATTCACTTCCGTTGCAAAGATCATTAGTTATTAACTTAGTGCCGCTAACACGACACCGCTCTACAGAACACAGAAACTTTAATGTGTTCTGGCCGTTCATTCGCACATCAGTGTTTGGAGCTTGAGAACACACACCTGGAAACAGGATCCAACGTGCAAGCAGTGAAAAACGTGATCATCTCCGCTAACCCTAACCCTAAAACAGGAATCTGTGAAGCGCTGACGGTGCACATGTGTATCGTGTTTAGTCTTAGGTGTGAGCGTTTGAACATATGTGTGTCTCTCTACACTGAAGCGTGGCCTGCGCCTGTAGGTGAAATGCTGAAGAATAATCACATTCCAGGAGCATTAGCAGCATTAGCTGAGCTTCTTCATCGGCACGAGTGCAGCACAGCTATAAGATTCATGTCCATACCATAAATTCATGTGCCATTAGCTAATTTATTTTTTCAGTGTTCAACACACATATTATTCATCAATTGATCCTCTTCTCTGTGAATGAAGCGCATTAAGGCGCCCGATGCCTTTTATACCGGTGTTTTAAATGCGAGCAGCGTAGGACGAGCCTCTTCCCAGCAAGCGTATTGTTGTCCCTGTCGCTCTCCTGTCCACACTAATAGAGTGTTTCTGGGAGGAGAGCAGGCGCTCAATAACTCTAAAACACCGCAATACTTCAGACAGCTGACTTTGTCTAATGATGTATGATTATTGTGTTTAGAAAATGTCATTGATTTCAGTCGTGTGGCTTCATGGCCTACCGTATCATTTCTGTGGTTTGAGAATGTCACTATTACTGTTGCTCACACGCCTTGTTCCCATAAGCCTGTGTTCAGTGTGAACGTCCGGCACGCTGCAGGGCTGTAGATGAGGGCGGCTCCGGGTCTGGCTCACACTGTCCGCTTGTGTGACGGCCTTAAGGTTTTGACCAGTCTTGAAGAAATAAATTAGATGAAGACTAGACTAAGCAGTGTATGCACTGCCACTGATGCCGAGTTCACACTGCTCCATTTTAGCCCCGATTTTCACTCGCCGACAGGTTTTGCGAACTCGCCGTCAAATGCCTGAAATCAGAGGCCAATCGGTGCTCGTTCACGCGAGTGACAGTCACGCATCAGTCATCAGAATCGCCGATGAGTGGGAGATATTTGACATGATAAATATCTGGAGCTGTTGCCGAAACCCTGCGGCGTGAATGTGCTCTGACTGAAAACTACATCGCCGATGACCGACAGCCAATAAGGAGCTATAGACCAGAATAGCAGCTTTACAATTATATCAAACAGAAGCAAAGCACAAACATCTGAACATCCGAAATCAAAATGATTTATTTACCCAGCTCTCTTAAGCAGAACCCAGTCCGTGATCCTCCTGCATGATCTGCTTATATTCCTCCTTTCCCTGCAAATCAGCACACACCATTTGGATCGCAGGCTTCTTCTAGCCTTTCATTTTTAATAACAGTTCCAGTCTTGAGAACAGCGATTTGACGAGTTTGAAAATCATGCAATGTGAACTCTGCATACGAGTGTTCTCAGCAACACTTGTGCTAATTATTCTGATGGAGACGTGATTTCTTCTCTCATCCTTGCTTCTGTTTGAGCTGTGTGTGTGTGTGTGTGTGTGTGTGTGTGTGTGTGTGTGTGTGTGTGTGTGTGTGTGTGTGTGTGTGTGTGTGTGTGTGTGTGTGTGTGTGTGTGAACGCTCCTCAGGTAATGGATTGGGGATCTGTCCTCGCTCCCGCCAGCCTTGAGATGGAAAGCTATCAGAAAGCTCATTTAAACGCAGAGATTTTACTTGCTAGGGACGAGAGGGGAAGAAATGTCAAATCAGAAATCCACACACACTTTACACTATTGTTCTGTTACAGATCGACGCCCACCAGAATAACCTATTTACATTAACGGCAGAGAGCCGGCCTGGCTAGAAATCAAAATTAAAAGTATGTGCTAATGAGGCAGAAAGGTCATTAATGGAGCTCCAGGCTGCTTTATTGAGGTGGGACCCCGCTAACATGTAATTAGTGGAGCGCGGATATCAATTCAAGCTAGTTTGTCCCTGCTCGCATTCGGGGGCGTCGAGGTGGACCGGCTGCTTTGCTTTTTATTCGTTTTATAGCCACTCATGAAGTGATTCATCTTAAATGAGAATCTGTGTTGTTTTTCTTTGCTCAAAATAAGCGTTTATGACGCAAACCGTCTTCATGCCGCTAATGGAGATCAGAGCGGATAATGGTCACCGCATTGTGTGCTATCTAAGAGTTCTTTTGCCTTTTTATCTCAAATTGTGTCTTTTAGGATGACTCATGATATTTTAACAACACAATATTATGCTTGTGTTCTTTGATGTGAACTTGTGAAGGCCTGTGGAGATGAGATCGTCTCTGACTGAAGAGGATCATTACAGGCGTTTCATGTAGTTGGAGGAGAGAGAGGGAAACTTCCATCGAGAGCTTGAAGTGTGCTTTCCGACCGCGCTTCCAGGGCAATTAGTCCTCCATCCTCTTTACCTCCTATTCATCCGTTTAATTACCCACACGATGGCAACTGGGTTCTGTGGGTATAGTGGGCTGTGCATGCCGAGGGCAGTCTGGTGTGCTGAGGGGTAATCAGCAGGTTTGAGCTGGAGAAAGGGAGCAGATTCGAGAGGAGTTTGGGATTCGGCGTGCCTTATTTGACTCTTTGTTTGCTTTGGGATTGAGTCTGACAACAGTTGTCAGCTAATTGCGTATTTCGCCCAATCTTCTCCCCCGATCGGCTTTCCCACTCTGACTCTGTTTGCCGATCGCATAATCCGCTGTGACTTATAAAAACAAAAAGACGTTCATTACCAAACGCTCATCCGCCTCCAGTGATTGTCATATATCAATTAAAACTTCCAGCACTCGTTTCTCCAATAATATCAGTAATATGATTTCACAATGACTCCAGAATAAAAACAAATAGCCTGTTATTCACAACAACTGGTGATGCAATTAGTTGATAACAGCTCATTAGCTTCCTCAACAGACTGTAATAGTGAATAATAAATACAGCACAAATATTATTATGATGCCACTGTATAATAAGGTCCTATACATTTACAGAATTTATTAGTTTTTATTATAATTAGGGTTATAATCATATATTATACAGTCAAAGCAAACATTATTCAGACACCAGATATTATTTTTGATATTTCTTTGCTAGTGTGTGTTCTTTACATTTATGTAAGTGAGGAGAGCAGAATAAAGTAAACTGTGACATATTATACCCACACACTCTTCATACAGTGACTACCAGTAACATTTATACAAATTTGGGAGCAGAAATGATTCCTCCACTTTGAGCTGATGATGTTCTGCTGAAGTGTGTTTTCTGTAACTGCTAATGCTCTTTTTACACACACACTGAACAACATGAAGCATTGCTTGGTCACTGGTTGAGCTAAACTGGTATTCTCTAATTGTGTAGTTAAATTTAACAGCTGACAGATATTCAACATAATTCATGTGTGAGAGTCTAACAGAAGGACGGACAAAACCAGTCAAATATCCACTGATCTGAGAACTCTGAGTTCTGCTCATATTTATCACCATTTATAAACTATAGCGAATAAACTGTGATAATGTGAGAAATGTTGAAGGAGTCTGAATACATTCTGGTTTGACTGAATATAATTTTTAGTATGCACCATCACAGACATGTATTGCTGATTTCCGCCCTCATCCCGTCCTCTCTCTCCGCCGTCTCTCAGGTGGACGACCTGAAGGCCAAGCTCGCGGCGCAGGAGGTGGAGCTGAAGCTGAAGAACGAGAGCGCTGATAAACTGATCCAGGTCGTGGGAGTGGAGACGGAGAAGGTGGCGAAGGAGAAGACCGTGGCTGATGACGAGGAGAGGAAGGTGGCCATCATCGCGGAGGAAGTGATGCGCAAACAGAGAGACTGTGAGGAGGACCTGGCTAAAGCCGAGCCGGCGCTCATAGCGGCTCAAGAGGCTCTCAACACTCTCAACAAGGTCCGAGACCTCACTTTAATACACACACACACTACCAGTCTAACGTCTGGGATCGAGAAGGTTTTTAAAGTCTCTTCTGCTCACCAAGGCTGCATTTATTTGATAAAAAATACTTTAAAAAAAACGTAATATTGTTAAATATTATGACAATTTAAAATCATCTGTTTTCTATGTGAATATACAGTAAAGTGTAATTTATTCCTGTGATCAAAGCTGAATTTCCAGCATCATTACTCCAGTCTTCAGTGTCACATGATCCTTCAGAAATCACTCTAATATGAGGATCTGATGCTCAAGAAACATTTATGATTATTATCAATGTATAAACAAAACGTTTGACTAGTAGTGTGTGTCAGTATGACTGTATATTTATATACTGTAGAATATTGTAGTTTTTTAGAAGGTTTGCTCACTGTATATTTGTCTTGTTTTGCCCCTTTTGTTCTTGTTTCTAGAACAATCTGACGGAGCTGAAGTCGTTCGGTGCGCCTGTGGCCGCTGTGACGAACGTGACGGCCGCGGTGATGGTGCTAGCGGCTCCCGGCGGCCGCGTCCCCAAAGACCGCAGCTGGAAGGCAGCCAAAGTGATGATGGCGAAGGTCGACGCCTTCCTCGATTCGCTGATCAATTTCAAAAAGGAAAACATTCACGAGAACTGCCTCAAAGCCATCAGGCCGTACCTGCAGGACCCAGAGTTCCAGCCGGAGCTCATCGCAGCCAAGTCCAACGCCGCCGCGGGCCTGTGCTCCTGGGTCATCAACATCGTGAAGTTCTACGAGGTGTACTGCGAGGTGGAGCCCAAGAGACAAGCGCTGAGCAAAGCTAACTCTGACCTGGCCACCGCGCAGGACAAGCTGTCCGTCATCAAGGCGAAGATCAACGTATGTATTCACTTTAGCAATATTCCAAATGTCTCTCAGACTCGGGTCAGCTTGAATGTGTTAAAACTACACACTGTTCTGTCCTAAACTGCTTTGTACAGTCTTTACGCATGTCCACACAAACATCTTATAACATCCTCTGCCTCCTTCTCCTGACAGCAACTGAACGAGAACTTGGCGAAGCTGATGGCTAAGTTTGAGAAGGCCACGACAGACAAGCTGCGGTGCCAACAGCAGGCCGAGACCACGGCGCTCACCATCGCTCTCGCTAACCGCCTGGTGAGCCAATCAGAGCCCTGATGCTGATCCGGCCTTCATTACGGAGGAATAGATGAGCAAGCCCAACAGAAACACAATAATTAAAATGCAGCAAACCCCCAGAACAAGTAATTTCTGCTGTGCACTCAAGCGTGCAGCTTTACTAGTCAGCAGTAAATCACACACACACACACACGTGCAGCAGAGCTGGTGTCTGCCTGAAGCACACATATAAACCATTGTTAGCTCTGGGAATGATTGTGACCCCGCAGTGTGTGAGGGGTTAAAGGTGAAGTGTGTCATTTCCACAGCATTACCACCAAATAGTAATTACCACTGTCCGTGTAAAACAGCATCATTTCAGGAGAAGCACACAGGCCACAGATGTCGGAGTGCTGTAGCTCTGACTTTACAGCTAGTAGAGTCTTTTAGAAATGAGATATATATATATATATACTAGGGATGCACTGATATGATTTGTTTTTTGTCTGAAAGAGATAATATAAGCCGAATATATGCCGCCCATCTTTGCAGGACTACTTTATTTTGATAATAGGTGAGAAAATAAATCTGTTAAATCTGATTCGCCTGCATAGAACTGAATGAAGAATAATACATTGATATATTGATATTAATACATTGATATTTAATATAGGCCTATTTTCTGTCAAATTTTCGTTACTTGAAATAAAAGTGTGGTTATTTTATTTTATTGGCTTAATTCAGATTCATTAAATTATTCAATTTAATAAAAAAATTTAATAATACAATTATACAAAAACTAATTTAAAAAAAGAATAAAATAAAAAATAAGTAATTTTTGGTTTTCGGCCCAAAATTTTCATTTTGGTGCATCACTAATATATACTGTATATTACTTTAATGAGTGCTTTCTGTGAGTGTTCTGAGTGATCTTGTTCTGTGTGTGTGTGTGTGTGTGTGTCAGGTCGGGGGTCTGGCGTCTGAGAACGTGCGCTGGGCCGAAGCGGTGAAGACCTTCAAGGGTCAGGAGGAGACTCTGTGTGGAGACGTGCTCCTCATCACTGCATTCGTCTCGTATCTGGGATATTTCACCAAGCGCTACCGGCTGGAGCTGATGGACAACAGCTGGAGGCCGTACCTCAGCCAGCTCAAGGTCTGGTCACCGCTCAGTCACTCAGCAGCTTTCCTTCTACAATGTTTCATTACGGCCAATGTGGCTTTCCTTTGAAACCTACAAGCATTATTGCTTCCCTTTTGTGCCGTAATATTCGTTTCACTTCGTTTTCATTAATAAGAACGCCGTCTCAGTGCGACGGAAGGCCAAAAAGATGCGTTTTCAAAGGCACACATTAGCGTGGACAAGGCCTGAGTATCCGCCGTCATCGGCTGTTGTTCCGCAGGTGCCGATCCCGGTGACTCCCGGCCTGGACCCGCTCACCATGCTCACGGACGACGCCGACATCGCCACCTGGCAGAACGAGGGGCTCCCGGCGGACCGCATGTCCACGGAGAACGCCACGATCCTCACCAGCTGCGAGCGCTGGCCCCTCATGGTGGACCCGCAGCTCCAGGGCATCAAGTGGATCAAACACCGGTACGGGGAGGACCTGCGCATCATCCGGATCGGCCAGAGAGGGTACGCACTGATCGCTCACCACAGGCCTTGCTGAATCCGCTCGGCTCCTTACTGAAGCGGATCACTGTCACACACAGGTATCTGGACTCCATCGAGAGGGCTTTATCTGTGGGGGAAGTCGTCCTGATCGAGAACCTGGAGGAGGCGGTGGATCCGGTGCTCGGGCCGCTGCTCGGCCGGGAAACCATAAAGAAAGGACGGTGAGAGTATTTAAATGACCTTATTATCGGGGCGGCAGTGGCTCAGTGGTTCATGTGGGTTTTTTCTACAAACCGGAAGGTTGGTGGTTCAATCCTCGGTTCCACCTGACCAAGTGTCGAGGTGTCCATGAGCAAGACCCCTAACCCCAGCTGTGTGTGTGTGTGTGTGTGTGTGTGAGACACCTAACCCCAGCTGTGTGTGTGTGTGTGTGTGTGTGTGTGAGACACCTAACCCCAGCTGTGTGTGTGTGTGTGTGTGTGTGAGACACCTAACCCCAGCTGTGTGTGTGTGTGTGTGTGTGTGTGAGACACCTAACCCCAGCTGTGTGTGTGTGTGTGTGTGAGACACCTAACCCCAGCTGTGTGTGTGTGTGTGTGTGTGTGAGACACCTAACCCCAGCTGTGTGTGTGTGTGAGACACCTAACCCCAGCTGTGTGTGTGTGTGTGTGTGAGACACCTAACCCCAGCTGTGTGTGTGTGTGTGTGTGTGTGTGTGTGTGTGTGTGTGTGAGACACCTAACCCCAGCTGTGTGTGTGTGTGTGTGTGTGTGAGACACCTAACCCCAGCTGTGTGTGTGTGTGTGTGTGTGTGAGACACCTAACCCCAGCTGTGTGTGTGTGTGTGAGACACCTAACCCCAGCTGTGTGTGTGTGTGTGAGACACCTAACCCCAGCTGTGTGTGTGTGTGTGTGTGTGTGAGACACCTAACCCCAGCTGTGTGTGTGTGTGTGTGTGTGTGAGACACCTAACCCCAGCTGTGTGTGTGTGTGTGTGTGTGTGTGTGAGACACCTAACCCCAGCTGTGTGTGTGTGTGTGTGTGTGTGTGAGACACCTAACCCCAGCTGTGTGTGTGTGTGTGTGTGTGTGTGTGTGTGAGACACCTAACCCCAGCTGTGTGTGTGTGTGTGTGTGTGAGACACCTAACCCCAGCTGTGTGTGTGTGTGTGTGTGTGTGTGTGTGTGAGACACCTAACCCCAGCTGTGTGTGTGTGTGTGTGTGTGTGTGTGTGTGAGACACCTAACCCCAGCTGTGTGTGTGTGTGTGTGTGTGTGAGACACCTAACCCCAGCTGTGTGTGTGTGTGTGTGTGTGTGTGTGTGTGTGTGTGTGAGACACCTAACCCCAGCTGTGTGTGTGTGTGTGAGACACCTAACCCCAGCTGTGTGTGTGTGTGTGTGTGAGACACCTAACCCCAGCTGTGTGTGTGTGTGTGTGTGTGTGTGTGTGTGTGAGACACCTAACCCCAGCTGTGTGTGTGTGTGTGTGTGTGTGAGACACCTAACCCCAGCTGTGTGTGTGTGTGTGTGTGAGACACCTAACCCCAGCTGTGTGTGTGTGTGTGTGTGTGTGAGACACCTAACCCCAGCTGTGTGTGTGTGTGTGTGTGAGACACCTAACCCCAGCTGTGTGTGTGTGTGTGTGTGAGACACCTAACCCCAGCTGTGTGTGTGTGTGTGTGTGTGTGTGTGTGTGTGTGTGTGTGTGAGACACCTAACCCCAGCTGTGTGTGTGTGTGTGTGTGTGTGAGACACCTAACCCCAGCTGTGTGTGTGTGTGTGTGTGTGTGAGACACCTAACCCCAGCTGTGTGTGTGTGTGTGTGTGTGTGAGACACCTAACCCCAGCTGTGTGTGTGTGTGTGTGTGAGACACCTAACCCCAGCTGTGTGTGTGTGTGTGTGTGTGAGACACCTAACCCCAGCTGTGTGTGTGTGTGTGTGTGTGTGAGACACCTAACCCCAGCTGTGTGTGTGTGTGTGTGTGTGTGAGACACCTAACCCCAGCTGTGTGTGTGTGTGTGTGTGTGTGTGAGACACCTAACCCCAGCTGTGTGTGTGTGTGTGTGTGTGTGTGTGAGACACCTAACCCCAGCTGTGTGTGTGTGTGTGTGTGTGTGTGAGACACCTAACCCCAGCTGTGTGTGTGTGTGTGTGTGTGTGTGTGAGACACCTAACCCCAGCTGTGTGTGTGTGTGTGTGTGTGTGTGTGAGACACCTAACCCCAGCTGTGTGTGTGTGTGTGTGTGTGTGTGTGTGTGTGTGTGTGTGTGTGTGTGTGTGTGTGTGAGACACCTAACCCCAGCTGTGTGTGTGTGTGTGTGTGTGTGTGTGAGACACCTAACCCCAGCTGTGTGTGTGTGTGTGTGTGTGAGACACCTAACCCCAGCTGTGTGTGTGTGTGTGTGTGTGTGTGTGTGTGTGTGTGTGTGTGTGTGTGTGTGTGTGTGTGTGTGTGTGTGTGTGTGTGAGACACCTAACCCCAGCTGTGTGTGTGTGTGTGTGTGTGTGTGTGTGAGACACCTAACCCCAGCTGTGTGTGTGTGTGTGTGTGTGTGAGACACCTAACCCCAGCTGTGTGTGTGTGTGTGTGTGTGTGTGTGTGTGTGAGACACCTAACCCCAGCTGTGTGTGTGTGTGTGTGTGTGTGTGTGAGACACCTAACCCCAGCTGTGTGTGTGTGTGTGTGTGTGTGAGACACCTAACCCCAGCTGTGTGTGTGTGTGTGAGACACCTAACCCCAGCTGTGTGTGTGTGTGTGTGTGTGAGACACCTAACCCCAGCTGTGTGTGTGTGTGTGTGTGAGACACCTAACCCCAGCTGTGTGTGTGTGTGTGTGTGTGTGTGAGACACCTAACCCCAGCTGTGTGTGTGTGTGTGTGTGAGACACCTAACCCCAGCTGTGTGTGTGTGTGTGTGTGTGTGTGTGTGTGTGTGTGTGTGTGTGTGTGTGTGTGTGTGTGTGAGACACCTAACCCCAGCTGTGTGTGTGTGTGTGTGTGTGTGTGAGACACCTAACCCCAGCTGTGTGTGTGTGTGTGTGTGTGAGACACCTAACCCCAGCTGTGTGTGTGTGTGTGTGTGTGAGACACCTAACCCCAGCTGTGTGTGTGTGTGTGTGTGTGTGTGTGAGACACCTAACCCCAGCTGTGTGTGTGTGTGTGTGTGTGTGTGAGACACCTAACCCCAGCTGTGTGTGTGTGTGTGTGTGTGAGACACCTAACCCCAGCTGTGTGTGTGTGTGTGTGTGTGAGACACCTAACCCCAGCTGTGTGTGTGTGTGTGTGTGAGACACCTAACCCCAGCTGTGTGTGTGTGTGTGTGTGTGTGTGAGACACCTAACCCCAGCTGTGTGTGTGTGTGTGTGTGTGTGTGTGAGACACCTAACCCCAGCTGTGTGTGTGTGTGTGTGTGTGTGTGAGACACCTAACCCCAGCTGTGTGTGTGTGTGTGTGTGTGAGACACCTAACCCCAGCTGTGTGTGTGTGTGTGTGTGTGAGACACCTAACCCCAGCTGTGTGTGTGTGTGTGTGTGTGTGAGACACCTAACCCCAGCTGTGTGTGTGTGTGTGTGTGTGTGTGAGACACCTAACCCCAGCTGTGTGTGTGTGTGTGTGTGTGAGACACCTAACCCCAGCTGTGTGTGTGTGTGTGTGTGTGTGTGAGACACCTAACCCCAGCTGTGTGTGTGTGTGTGTGTGTGAGACACCTAACCCCAGCTGTGTGTGTGTGTGTGTGTGAGACACCTAACCCCAGCTGTGTGTGTGTGTGTGTGTGTGTGTGAGACACCTAACCCCAGCTGTGTGTGTGTGTGTGTGTGAGACACCTAACCCCAGCTGTGTGTGTGTGTGTGTGTGTGTGTGTGTGTGTGTGTGTGTGTGTGTGTGTGAGACACCTAACCCCAGCTGTGTGTGTGTGTGTGTGTGTGTGTGAGACACCTAACCCCAGCTGTGTGTGTGTGTGTGTGTGTGAGACACCTAACCCCAGCTGTGTGTGTGTGTGTGTGTGTGTGTGAGACACCTAACCCCAGCTGTGTGTGTGTGTGTGTGTGAGACACCTAACCCCAGCTGTGTGTGTGTGTGTGTGTGTGTGTGAGACACCTAACCCCAGCTGTGTGTGTGTGTGTGTGTGAGACACCTAACCCCAGCTGTGTGTGTGTGTGTGTGTGTGTGTGTGTGTGTGAGACACCTAACCCCAGCTGTGTGTGTGTGTGTGTGTGTGTGTGAGACACCTAACCCCAGCTGTGTGTGTGTGTGTGAGACACCTAACCCCAGCTGTGTGTGTGTGTGTGTGTGTGTGTGAGACACCTAACCCCAGCTGTGTGTGTGTGTGTGTGTGAGACACCTAACCCCAGCTGTGTGTGTGTGTGTGTGTGTGTGTGAGACACCTAACCCCAGCTGTGTGTGTGTGTGTGTGTGTGTGAGACACCTAACCCCAGCTGTGTGTGTGTGTGTGTGTGTGTGTGTGTGTGTGTGAGACACCTAACCCCAGCTGTGTGTGTGTGTGTGTGTGTGTGTGAGACACCTAACCCCAGCTGTGTGTGTGTGTGTGAGACACCTAACCCCAGCTGTGTGTGTGTGTGTGTGTGTGTGTGAGACACCTAACCCCAGCTGTGTGTGTGTGTGTGTGTGAGACACCTAACCCCAGCTGTGTGTGTGTGTGTGTGTGTGTGTGAGACACCTAACCCCAGCTGTGTGTGTGTGTGTGTGTGAGACACCTAACCCCAGCTGTGTGTGTGTGTGTGTGTGTGTGTCAAGTCAAGTCAAGTCACATTTATTTATATAGCGCTTTTCACAATACAGATTGCATCAAAGCAGCTTCACAGTGATAACATGAAAGTAGTACAACACAGTTCAATAATATTGTTGAATATTAAATGTCCCCAACTAAGCAAGCCAAAAGCAAGGCGACAGTGGCAAGGAACCAAAACTCCATCAGATTGGATGGAGAAAAAAACCTTGGGAGAACCCAGGCTAGTCAGGGGCCAGTTCTCCTCTGGCTAACAATCATAGGGTTTTAAAGAAGCTTTACAGTAAGTCCATATCAGAGAGTACCTGGAAAAAATACATTTAGTTAATCATGTAATATTTAGGGGATAACATATCGCCGGCGTTGAGTCGTCTCTTCACAGGCGTTGGTCTTCTCATCACAGGCGTTGAGTCGTCTCTTCACAGGCGTTGAGTCGTCTCTTCACAGGCGTTGGTCTTCTCATCACAGGCGTT